GGTAAATGGAACTTTTCATCATTCATGAAATTGTTATTCATTGAATAGCTAAATACTGACGAATCGTGCGAACAATACTGGACTCGTCTGACGGCGTGCTCATCTGTCTGACTGCTCCGAATCTGACCTCCCTCCCCGCCCGTCTCACAGCAGCCGCTGGCGCTGCCGCACCGCCGACTGGTCTGCTACTGCCGCCTGTACGAGGTACCCGACGTCTCCAAACGCGACCGGCCCGGCGTCCACCAGCGAGAGGTGTTCCTCTTCAACGACCTCATGCTCGTCACTAAGATCTTCAGCAAGAAGAAGAACGCCATGACGTACTCGTGTCGGCAGAGCATCCCGCTGGCCGGACTGTCCGTGTCGGCGTTCGACCTTCCTCGTGAGTTGACTCACTATGATCTGTTTTAACCCGCGCCCTGCTGGGGGGGGGGGGTGTTTGAACACCCCCCCCCCCTTGTGGTTTTTCGCGAATATCTCAAAAACGGCGGCGCGGAGCGCCGCCGTTTTTGGTACACCTTATCATACATCAATTCTACACATGTTGTGAAAATTTCAGACCAAGGTCATTCAAGGTCAGGTCACCAGGTCACCTGAAGTGACCTCACCTCATAAAAAGTTTCAATGTCTGTCATAGCTACACCGAGTGACCGATCGCTTTGAAACTTTCAGCGATTGCTAAGAGCAATAGCATGTACAAAATGTATATCTCAGAATTTTGACATCGATGACCTAAGGTCAGGTCAATTTTGCGACCTCCCCATTATAAGTCAATGGGAGAAAATTGAAATGCGCCTCTTTTGGACGAAAGACATTATAAACACTCCCAAACACTGAATTACAAGTGGTTTAGACACACTGAACATGAAAATGGTGTCCGTGACCCCTGCTTTTGCCCTGAGGTCATCTTAGGTCACGAATGGTATCTAACAGTTTTTCGCAAATAACTTTTGATAGAGGCATGCAAGAGCGATGAAAACGCCTTAGATGTGTTCAGCTCGACGATACGGATCGACTGATATGCAACATGACCCTTTCCGGTCAGGTCATGACCTTGACCTGAGGTCAAATTTTCAAGTTGACCTTTCAAGGTCAAGTTATAGTTCATTCGATGCGTCTTGACGTGAGGAACACGATGCCGGTAAAAGTAAGCTCGTACAATGCTTGGGTCAAAAGTTATTGCAGAAAAACTGTTTCCGAAAAAATCGGCTATTTTTGCAGTTTTTGCCCCCTGCAGGCAAAACCGTTGACGTTAGGTCAAATCTGAGAGAATTTCTCAGAAATGGCGTTAATAGCGCTATCGAATGCGCTTTTCCGCGGCGCTGTAGCTCTATTGGTTCCCGAGTTATGCGTTGGCTTCTTGGAAATTGTCGACATTCGACCTGGAAATCGGCGAAATTTTGCCTTCAATGACCTCTGGTGACCTGATCTTTGACCTGACCGAAAAATTGACCAAAGTGATTTCCTCATTATTTTTGACGCTCTTTCGAACGCCGCCTTCTGCGTATCGCTACGTGGCCCAGGAGCCGAGTTAGAAGGGGGGTGTTCAAACCCCCCCCCCCCCCAGCAGGGCGTGGAAATCCAGGACCCCCAGCCGGGCGCGGGTTAACGCTCAGTAGAGGCTGCAACTTAGGCAAGGAATCTATTTTACCCTGTGCTCTTTTGCATCTGTCATATATGTTATTTGCCGTGGCTTTTTTGGATGGGCCATCTCTCGAATACGTAGCTTATCTTGATTGGTATTGCCCTTAAAGGAAGTGACAAGTGGCAAAAGTATTACAGTGGCATCTCTTGTTGGCATGCTACCGTGTTCCCTCGTGTGTCACCTCACCCACTAGATTCCATAGCGTTCTCCATCTAACAACCAAGCCCCATTCCGTTTCAGACTACCCATTCGGGATCCGGCTCTCGCAGCGTGTGGACGGAAAGGTGCTGCTCACCTTCAACGCGCGCAACGAGCACGACCGGACCAAATTCTGCGAGGACCTGCGAGAGAGTATCCTGGAAATGGACGAGATGGAGGCACTGCGCATCGACGCCGGTCTGGAACGACAGAAGGCGGCCGCCGCCGCTACACGCGCAGGGTGAGAGACGACTGGGGGTGATAGGGGAGATGTGTAGAGCGTATGGGAACATTGAAGGAATAGGAGAGACGTGCTAGGATAGGGAGACATGGAACAGTTAGAATTTAGATAGAACAGAAGGGAATAAAATTGAGACAAGTTGTGGGGAAAGGGCTGATGTAAGACAAAGGCATTAACATGCAGGGTTACGCTAATCATAAGAGTAAAGTTCGGTCGTATCTTGGGAGACGGATCAGGTGGGAGAGGCAACCAGAAGGATAGATAGCCTGGCTGTTGGCTTTTGTGTTTACGGACTACACACGCGGCTTGTATAATGTGGGTCACAGCTCGCGCTTTCGGCTAATGTGGAAGGTCGCGCCGATGCCTCGGGCGGGAGATGTCTCTCCGAGACCACTGAGATTCGTGACATCGTGCGTGTGGTCGGAGGTGTCTCATCCTGACCCCATTCTGGGTAGAAGCCCGCGGGATCGGAATCACCGCGAGCACCGGAGACTGCCATTTTAATGCGACTTTGGCATGTCTGGTGCGCAGCCGTCTCTAAATTCACGGGACTCTAAACCGGCAGCGATGCGGCGCACTCACTCTGAGCTCTACCAAAACACTCGGCGCGCCGGTAAACGATGTGTCCTTAGCAGCGGAACGCGGCGACTGTGAGATGTTCTCAGGCGGCTGGGAACTCTGCCCGCTCGCAGATGGATGGATTGCGAGCGAGCTTGGCTGGCCGGCCTTGACTAAATGGCGGTCGTGTGGTCTTTGTTCTTTTGGTGGCGTGGTTAGCCAGTGGCTTTGTGTAAGGTAGAAGTCCTTGTCATGCTGGGTCTATTTCATATAATTGTGGGCTGTTGTGGTTGCGTATTTTGCTTTTGTTAGTATTTTATTTGCTGTTTGCAAGTGATTTCTTTGCCAAATCTACCCTTATGTCAGATTTCGTTCTAAAAAATCCCCTTGAATTGATATGTCAACCACATTGCAACCAAATTTACGCAAACAATGATACAATGGTTACGGTATCAACAATGGGTTGTCGCAGCTCTACGTTTCACATCAAACGATTGTCTGCAGCCGCTAGGTAACGCTCCGTATGCTTCAAGGCCGCGTAAAACTCCCTGCAAAATCGTGATACGGTCTACCCATGGTCTGTAATTGTGATTGCGCCGCCGCGCGCTGGCCTGTGATCAGATCTGCCCTATCGGGGTATTGTTTTTACCGGCCGAGGGCGGCTGATGTCATGGTTTTCCGTTAGTGCTGCTCTGCGGACAGCGCACCCGCAGTGGCAGTGACACGTCCTGCCTCGCACAGTGGGGATGACTCCTTTCTTGAGTGGGATCGTAGGAGCTGGGATGTTTTTACTAAGTAGGTCGACGATTAACTCGAGAGGATAAGCAATAGGCAGCGATCGTGTGTTACTACTACTACGCTCTGATTGTGAAGGTTGTCAGTCATCTACAACTAACCGGTGCTCGGTGCTGCCACCATCGACTGGCGTTTGCAACCTTGTTAAAACAGCCAGGAAAGAAGACATTGCCAACGGACTCTGCTCTCGTCTCCCTTTTTGTCTTGACTGATAATAATAGTTCTGACTTGCCACTAACTATTCCTGCCGTCTGACCGCGCCCGTGCCCCGTCTGTTCCAGCCGGCCCACCGATAACCGGGACTCGGGCGTAGCTGATGTCGAGGACGGCTCAGACGGCTCAGCAAAGTCCGCCAGCAGCGGCGGCGTCGGACTGAAGCGGGCCGCCCTCTCCAACTCTCTACTTGACGTCAGCGAGGCGCGGCCGCAGCGCCGCGGCAGCGTGGGTTCGCTAGACTCGGGAATGTCGGTGAGCTTCCAGTCGAGCAGCACGGCGTCGGCGCAGACGGGAAGTCCTCCCACCCAACCGGCCGGCCAGCGAGCGCAGCGGAGGCCGCAGAGACGCCACTGAGCGCCCCGGGTAGGCGGCTGAGAGACCCGCGGGTCGGAGTAACTAGTTAATGCGGTGGTGTGTTTGTAGGGCGGGGAAAGCTGGACTGGTCTATAGCGCTCTCTAAGGCCTGGCGGTGGGTTGTTGGAGCTAGCTGCGTAGCTCTGGCTCTGAGCCTGGAGAGTCTGACCAAGGAGGGCCGCGGCGGATGTTCGGTCGCCGCTGATCGTGGGCTCCTGAGGGTGGTGTGGAGAGCGATCGAGGTGATCGGTGGCTGCTGGCCGCCCCAGCCTACAGTTCGCGCCGGTCGAACGCTGTGCAATACCTTAGCGAGGTGCCGTGCGCGCCGGACGAACCGCACCTGTTTGATCGTATTACAACTGAGACTGTATTTGACCTATGACGACCTCTCAGTTTCGTTAAACACTGCGAACCAAGGACTCCCCTATTTACCCCCCCCCCCCCCCCCCTCCCAAGTCAGGACGGTATGAGCCATGCGATGTCGAATGTTCATGGACTCAATTCACCCACTTTCCGTGGTCGGCGGCGACATCTGTTGAGCGTTTGATCACCCCAGAAGGCCGTATGGCGCCGAACCGTTCGCTGCGCTCCCAAGTGGTGCTGTATTCGCAGAGTCAACTAACACGTATCTAGTCTGGACCGTGGCGCTGCGATGGGGTGTTACTGACTGTAGTAGCGTGCTGTAAATATTCGAGGACGGGACACGCGGGGCAGACCGAGAGGCGCCCTCACAGACCGGTGATATGCAAACTGTATTGTATCAGCCCCGAAACGTAAACGCATGTCTCGTATTTTGACAAATATATCACATGTCAAGGTTGACGTATGCGTGTTGATGTTTACGGACTTGCACTGTGGTGGTTAATATATAAATCGCGTGACGTAGTGACGAGTAACGTGCGTTACGCGTGACTGGTGATGCAAGTTCAGGGCTATTGTGAAGTCTTTTCGAGAAGCCGTGCTCGCGGCTTTTGCGGAATGATGAAAGCAAACATCGGCGCTGTAGTCACTATATTGCCTGTGCTTATAGCATTGGTCACCACAAACAAGGTAAAGCATACGGGCGGAGTTGTAAGCCATTTTACCACTACAAAAGCTTGGCTTACGCAATAGCTTTACACAGCGTCAAGCCCCACAGCACAGTAGCAGTAACACAACTGACGCGCCGACTGCTCACTATAAGGCAATCAGCTCTGCAAAACGCACCAGGCATAGGTTTCAGGCACCACTGTGAACCTTCAGTGCGTACAGCTAGGCGTTCACACTCGTACTGCGAAGGCTGACAAGTTGAATGAGATCCAATCATGAGATCGCGGCACATACTTAGAGTGGCACATAAGATCGCAGCACAACTTATAATGACGAACCCAGTCCCATGGATCCAGAAAGAGGAACGAGAAAGAGAATCCGGCAAAAGGACGAAACTTTCATCAAATCGAGTCGAGTGTCTTGAGACAAAGCCGGGGCAAAGCCAAACGTGACGCACTGACTATTAACCAGCGTCCAGCGAGGTGGCAACAGGCGGAGCCCTTGCAACTTCACACATCTACATATTCTCCAGCTAATAAATGCTCTTGCAATCAATGCCGTGACCAGAGAGGACTATCAGCAGATAAACAAGCTCAAGCGAAACCGATGCACGTTCCCCCAGTAGGCAGCAGTCGGTGCCTCATTTGACATATTGCGCCCCGTGCCTATTCCTCTCCCTAAGCAAGCTTCCCATAGGCGGAACGCTTCCAAAGACCTTGGCATAATCGGGGAACGTCCGACAACATCCATGGCATAATCAAAGCGATACTGAACCATTGCTTTGGTTTCATATACATATGCTCAAAAATATGCATTGCAAATACTGAAGACCACGCCTAACAGCAGGAGACTAACAAACGAGCCAAAGCCGCTGGCTGGCTGCGGGACGAATTGACAAGTTGTGGACGCTCTCGTGAGACGTAACAACTAACAGTCGTCGCTGGTCAGTCGGAGGCCTTGTTACATCTCCCGGTACCAAAACAGCACGTGACTTCCATCGGGGGGCTGCAGTCGGTCAACACCTGAAAAAAAACAGGCACACAAAATGATATAAATACGGTAAAACGGCAGAAATAGAGGTAGAAACGTTGACTGAGAACCCTCAGTGTCGCTCTAAGCTCAGCCGTGGATTGTGGTGAGCTCACCGTCAACCAGCGATCGGAGAAGTCCCTATCGTTATAGTTTCCACTTTCCATTCTTAGGACAGGATGAAATTATATGTATTAGCCCCATTTTCATTATACTATCTGCAAAATAATACAACATATATGTTTAAGAACTTTCCATCCCTATCCAACTAAATCAACACAACCAAACAGACCTTCCGACCATCGAGTCGTTACATCTCGCGAGACCGGACTCCAGCGAGCTCCACCAGCTGTTCTCACCTACTCCGTGAACCTCCCGCTCTGTGGGCTTGTAGGCCGGCTCAGGGGCACTGTTCAGGGTGTAGAGCAGCCAGAAACGGTAGCCCTCCTTCCGCTCTCGGTAGCCGTCGATGGTGTGGATGTAGTGACCGTTGGGCCAGAGCTCAGAGGAGAATCTGCGAGCGAGATGGGTTGGTTAGAGAGGAGGGGGGATATAGCGGACGAAGCTTTCTAGTTGGAGAGAGAGAGAGAGAGAGAGAGAGGGGGGGGGCTTCTAGAAGCCAGGACGCCAGGAGATTCCTGAAGCTACACTTTCACCCAGGTCGCCGCAGAATTACTTAATAGCACTGTCATCTTGCTCACAAAATGTGTCCTCCCATCTGTAAAATGTCCTCCCAGTTACCTCAACGTCCTCGTGCGACCTCATTCCGACTTCCCGTTCTCCCGTTGCCCCACTCACTGAAAGTGACTGTTGAGCTGCGCGGCCAACTGCAGACACTCGAACACACTGGCGTTCTGCTGCACAGATACCAGCTGACGATAGATAAGGTCGGGCTCCGAGCCGATCCACAACCACAGGGTCACCTCGATCGGCGGCGGCGGCGGCGGCGGCGGAGGTAACTCGGAGTTCGCCCGCCCGCCGTCAGATGGCAGTGGCGCAGTTTCTGAGGGTGGCAGTCGGCAGTAAACAGGAGCGGTCAGTTCCATAGCCTCGTGTTAGTTGAGCAGCGGGAGCCTGCCAGCTGAATTATTGATCGGCGACACACTGAAACTACTGTGGATGCCTTATGGTCCGGCTATGAACACACTGGTAGAGTCTGGATAGGATGGAGCCTTGAGTGTCTATGCAAGTACTTACACGTGCAAGCGGGAAAATATTGACTGGTTTGAGGCGTTTAACGACAATTAAAATTCCGATCTTGATGATGGTATTTTCTATGCTGTAGCCTAGGGTGACACTTATTTGTAGGGGGAAATCCCAAAATGAATATTTCAACGCGCGAAAGCCTGCACATGGTGTGAAACCATGAGAAAACACCTCCTGTGAAGTTTCAGGTCAATCGGACATATTTAAGAGGTGCCCCAAAGCCAATATGGCGTCTGATGCCCTTTTCTGCTTCCTCCCCCCAACACGTCGCATAGCTCGAGCCTCGGCGGTGACCCCGCAGATTGCAGCTGCGCTCGATCGAACAAGAACATCTAACCGGAGTGCTGTCCACATCCTCCACGCTGCTGCTGAGGCGTACAACCCAAGCCCCCAGAACCTTGTAGTCAACCGGGAGTCGATCCAACGACACCGGAGGCGCGTCAGGGAGGATGTGGCGAAGGAGATCCGGAAGACGTTTGCTCCGGGCGTACCTACCCCTCGTCGTCCGACTCCATTGGGGCGGAAAGATCGTCGACGATATCACCAGCAAAGGCATCTGAGCGCCTTCCCATCCTCGTTTCTGGGGATGGCATTAACAAGCTCATGGGAGTCTCACGCTTGCCCAGCGGAAAGGGTGACGATGTTGCCACCGCGGTTGATTACAGATTACAGATTACAGATATATTCAGACAAGGTCCTCTCAATAGTGAGGCTTTTCACATGTCCACGTCATGATAGTGTGATACAAAACGAGGGACAGTGTGCAGCACGCATAATTGCCACACACGCACCCATACATGCTATTGCTCATGTCTGTTGCTTAGACAGCAGCACCTTTCAGGTTGTCAGCTGCCTGGAGGATTGGGGCGTCACTGAACGCGTTGTGGGAATGTCTTTCGACACTACCGCTTCCAACACCGGCGTGCGCGGCGGAGCTTGTACTTACGTCCAACAGCGACTCGGGCGGAATCTCCTCCACCTGGCCTGCCGGCACCATATTCTTGAGATCGTGGCCGACAAAACGTTCGGCGCCTGTCTCTCACCGTAGTCTGGGCCCGATATCCAACTATTTAAACGCTTCAAAGCCGAATAGGAATCCATCGACCAGGCGATGTTCGAGCCAATCGAGCCGATCCCGTCCACCAGTGACGAAGTCATTATGTTCTGCAAGGAGAAACTTCAAAGTACGCAGCATCGGGATGACTATCGAGAGCTCCTCAACTTGACGATCGTTGTCTTGGGTGGCGTTCCCCCTGGAGGAATCAGGATGTCCAAGCCCGGAGCCTACCACCGCGCTGGATGGATGGGCAAAGTGATATACGCATTGAAGATCTTCTTATCCCGCGGACATTTCAAGCTCACCAAGGCGGTGGAGAAGAACTTAGCCCGCTTCGTCCTCTTCTTCGCGACGCTGTATGTACCGGCGTGGTACGAAGCCCCGCTGGCAGCCCGTGCTCCGGCCCAGGACCTATCTTTCTGCCGCTCACTCTTATCCTACGAGGAAGAGGAAATCGAGAACTCCTCTCTATCGACGTTTTACACCCCCAACGATTTGTTTAAAGCCAAATTGCATGTGTACTTTATCAAAAATCGCAAGGGAAGCATCGAAAGCGTTTGGGCGTTATCTCTGGTACATCTCCGAGGAGCTGGTGTCGCTCGCTCTGTTCGACGTGAGGACCACGTTGGAGGAGAAGAGGCTGATCGTGGCTGTCTTTGGCCGCGACGGCGCAGAAGATCCACCCAAGCGGATTTCACTGGAGCCTGACCTGACTGTACTGACGAGGAAGACGCTGCCTCGCTTCGTCAAGCTCCAAGTTTCTCGTGGACGCCCTTGGCCCGTGGGACTTCCTTGAGGTGAACCCGGCCGAGTGGCCGGAACGCCAGGACTACCAGCTCGCCCGCCGCCGAGCCGAGTTCTCAAGGTTGTCAACGATTTTGCCGAACGGGGCGTGGCTCTGATTCAGAGTTATTGCGCCATCCTCACGAAAGATGAGGAACAAAGACAGTTCCTTCTCCAGGTCGTCGAGGAACATCGACGTCGTTTCCCCGACGTCCGCAAGTCGACACTAGATGAGTACCTGTGATTGGGATTTTGGTTCCTATGAGACCCCCCAGCGAGGGTCGAATGTACGCAGGTCAGCATGGTGTGCTTTTTTGTGTGCCAGGTGTGCCTTTTTTTGCTTTTTGTCGAGACCCCCATCGACGGTCTAATACACGCAGGTCAGCGTGGTGTGCCTTTTTGTGTGTCAGTGTGTCTTTTTGACTTTTTGTCGGGGAACATCGGCGCTTCCCAGACGTGCGCTATTCGACGTTAGCTGAGCAGCAATGAGTGGGATTTAGGCTCCCATGAAACCCCCAGTCAGAGGCTGGGTGTATCTTTTAATGTATGTGTATCTTTTAATGTATGTGTATCTTTTAATGTATGGTGTATCTTTTAATGTATCTTTTAATGTGTATCCCCCAGTCAGACACGCCGGTCAGGGTGGTGTGCCTTCATGACAGCGCGTGTCAGGTGTATCTTTTAACAAATTGCCATTGGTTGTTTGAGGGGTGGGAATTTTTTATCGACGTTTTACACCCCCAACGATTTGTTTAAAGCCAAATTGCATGTGTACTTTATCAAAAATTGAATTAAAAATGCGCTATCTATTTTTGGTGCACGTTGCCAAAAAAATTGGCTTTGGGGCACCTCTTAAATATGTTCGATCGATGTGAAAATTCACAGGAGGTATTTTCTCATGGTTTCACACCATACCCAGGCCTTCGCTCCTGAAAAATCAAAAGTTCAAAAATAAGTGTCACCCTACGTAGCCGTTTGATGGCATCCATATGCGTGCAACATGTTGCGCTGTGTTTTTCCGATACTGATGTTAGACCGAATATCTACTCATGTTTCCCCCGCTGTGCAGCGCTCACCTCCGACTATCTGTCCGCGGTGGCACGGTGTGTCTGTGACGTGCAGCAGTGACTTTCCACTCAGCACTCCGACAGCAGTCGCCGTCAGTCGTACGTCACCCAGTGAGCCGTGCCGTTTGGAGAGAATGAACCGCAGAGAGGCTGCCGAGTCCCAGCCGGCGGCGGCCACAGCAGTCAGCGCCTGTGAGGGGGACGGGGAGATGGCGCATAGGTTATTGTGGCATCCTTATCAGCATGGTGGACAAGTAGGGTCCTACCTAGCCTCCGCCCTCCACTCTCCTTAGTCGCATGGACCTGGCAGGCCAGAAAAATGGCGTGCAGGGCCCTCGCTCCCTGACATTGCCTCATGAACCAGTAGGGTTGCCACTTGTGCTCATTCCCTTCAAATTCCTCTCAGTTTAACTGTTGGGCTTAGAGGGAGGCATTAATAGGCATCCTTTCAGAGGGATGCATCCTTTTCCTCCTTATTCAGCTGATGGGCCTATAGGGCAGACATCATGTCCCCTCTTGGCTCTTAGTCACCTGATGGGCCAGCAGTGTAGTCTGCAGGTCTCCGAAGCCGCCGTCCGCCCGCTGTCTCCCCGCCAGTCGCCGGGTCGTCTCCGTCAAGTGGTGTTCCGTGCGCCGGCCTCCCCTCGCCTCCATACAGCGAAGGGTTAGCACGGCCAGAGCCAGTGTCTCTGTGAGGGGAGAGGTCTCAGATGGCCACCAGATTGGGCTGGAGGTCAGGACTAATCCTGGATGTGTCGTCATCCGTGATACATAGCGAAACGCTTCCTTCTGGAGGTTGGGGTTCATTAAAAAATTTGAATCACAAGGCGCTGACTGAGTGGGAGTTAGTCACTGTGACGGGCTCTGAGCCTGGGCTACACGCTTACAAATTGACTTGGTCTATATGTATATTGTGTATTTGTATTTTGACACACCAAGACAGCATAGTGCATATCCCTCATCGCTACTTCCCTGGCAGTGTTCCACTCCGAACCGCCCCCCTGTCCTCTGGTTAACACACATGACCTCTGACCTGTGCTGACGTTAGCCGCTCGCTCGCCCTCGACCGCTGTTAGCAGTCGGAGATAGTTCCTGCGTCGGTGCGGCGCCCCGGCTAAGCAGGCGGCCAGCTCCACAGACGGCAGGGCTGAGTCGTCGGCGGCCACACGGTGACGCATCATGGCTGACGACAGAGGGAAAGAGAGGAAGTCATGACAGGAATGACACAGATTATCCTCTGGATAGTGTTATCTAGTCATCGCCGTGATGTAAGTAACAGTGCCCATGGATATCACGAAATAGTTAGTAGCTTCCGCTTTTCCTACGACCAGTGTTACAGCTATTTTTCTGTGGACCTCGAACAGTTAATTCTTTTTGTCAACTCCTCAGATGTTGCCCTCTACGCACATACAAACTACGCAGCGCTCTCCTGCGTTTAGCTGCCTACCACAACGCTCTAACTCATTACTCCAAACATTTTCGCCCCTGTCATTTCTCGTCTCAGTTCTGAACCTCGCCCTAAACCTTTCCCACACTCTACCCCACTCACTCCATTTTTCTCCGATTCTCTACCCTGATTCAACTGCCGGCCTCCATCTCTGCGAAAACCATTTCACCCCCATTCTTTCCCTGGTCGAGCCAAGCCGGGCCTGGCTGAGACGAGTCGGCCGTCCTCGTAGCTGTATTTCTCCCATTCAGTCCATGGTCGCTGGATACGGAAGCGGGCTGTGGCCCATAACTCGTGGGTTGACGAGACATCGTCCTTGGCAGAAAGGAGGTCGGACGGAAAGAGGGGGCCCGGGAGAGGGGGTGGACAGGAAATGTAGCCGCGCACTGCGCAGTAGCCCAGGAGTGAGGGGATGGGTGAATGAGTTGATAAAGGACCACAGCCAGGAGTTGCATGATAAGCCGTCAGTGATCGTCGTAACTAATGATCTTGTATGTGATCGGTGTGGGAGAACCGTTGCAGAAAAAGATGCAGACAATAGGTAGTAACTGAATAAACGGCACAAAATTCACAGGAAGAGCCGATATATGGAGGTCATTAAAAATATTGTATGTGTAAATTCTCGAGTCCATTCAGTCGTTGAAATTGGGAATAGTGCTGGGAACCAGTGTTGTTGATTGATGACTGTGTATAACGGGCTACAGCTTTGTAGTAATAAAATGCAGTCGTGCCTAGCATGCTAAACACGATCGTAAACACCAGCCAGAGGGCATCATTGACTAACCGAATAATGGGATAACTTTGGAACAGAGCCTTTTAGATCGAGTCGCAACAATCGTATTTCGTCGGAACATATAGTCAATTCAAACAAGTTAGGTCAATAAAACCAAGTTTCTCTGCCTCTATCACCTGTGCTGTCACGGTAGTTTTGTTGAATGTCCCCTAACTTCCCTAACTATAGAGAATATTCGTATGATGGCACGGCATCACGACGCTTCATTTTGTAAATTATTTGGTGACCTTGGACTTTCGGTGACCTGTTGACCTGTGATGACGTGGTAAGCTTTAGTTACCCGAGGGCCAAGATATCTGGCCATCTATGGTGACCTGTGATCTGAAGGCATGATCACCGGTGGCGATCTGTGATGACCTGGTGACCTTTGGTGACCTCTAATCGGCGATGACACGATCATTGATCACCTGTGGTGACCTGTGCCGACCTGTAGTAACTCAATGACCCGGTAACCTCTGGTGACCTCTAGCGACCCGTTGACCCACCTGTCAGGTCCTTTCCCTGGAACCGGGTGACGTCCACACAGGAGCTGACCAGCGCCGTGACGTACTCGGCCAGCCGCACCGGAGTTACCGGACTCTGGTGCTGTCTGCAGACACACAAACACACGACAAGCGCATATAAATACACATTTAAATAATGAAAATAGTAAATTGAGTCGTAGATCAGCGTTGAAAATTAAAATAAACCTGTGGACAAATTAAACCAGCTCTGAACGCGAATCATATTTCATATCGCGGTAAACCGCTCACTTACCTCCAGATGGCGGCCAGCAGTTCAATCTGCAGCTGTTTCTCGGCCAGCTGATGCTCGGTCCGACTCAGACCACTGGTCCGGCTCAGACCATCGGTCCGGCCCAGACCATCGGTCCGGCCCAGACCATCGGTCCGGCCCAGACCACTGCCGTCAGCCAGGTTCAGTGCGATGACTGCCGCGGCCGTGCCGTCCCCCCAGCCACCGTCTGACCGCCGCTCCCCCAGCAGCCACGAGAGAGCGGCAGCGCCGGCCGATTGGGGGTCACTGCCGTCTGCCGGGAGAGAGCGACGGAGGAAACACGGGGCAGAGTGACGGAGTACTTTGATATAATGTAAATCCGAATCAGCACATCACTAAAACTTCGGAATAGAACCGGCCACCCGGTTACTTTGTGGTTAACTTCCTTCCCCCTAGATGGCACCAGCATCGCACGCCTGCGTAGGTATGCTGTACCACAGGACACGGCACGTTCCCACTCCCGACGCTAGATGGCAGGAGCGTCGGACGCCTGGAGTTATACTGTGCCGCACGGCTTGAAGCTTTCTCGCGGCGAGAGAGGAGTGGGAAAACGATTCGATAGCTATTTACACTGTAAGAACGAATTATTTTCAGTGGTTGTATGCAAGTGAATGAACGTATCCATTGGACATGGCGACGTATTGGGAAAATGCATTCGGGCAAAACGTGTAACCTCTCTTTCAGTTCACCGTAAGTTGATGAAGTCTAGAATTGCCGCCTAACTGCGCCCGTGGCGAACCCAACTCTCATTCGCGGTCCTCGCCTTTGTTCAGACCTTGCGCACGCTGTCCTGGCACCACTATGAACTCAATGGCCGCTGAACTAGTGTTCCTAAGCCATCAACTGAGTGTATGAAATTCGTTTACACCTGGCAGAGGCCATCAAAAGCGGGCGTGTTGGTTTGTCAGCCCGCTGTTGGTGGGCGGGTGCTGGCAGCTCGCGTGCCCCGCCAGCTGAGCGGTCACATGACGCGCTAGCACTTAGCTGGAGCGGAGTCGAAACTCGAAATCAATAGAGCACTGCACTGCTGCGAGCAGCGGCAGCGGGGAGCCCGGGGCCGGCCCACAAACAAGGCAGCTAGCTGCAATGCAGCAACAAAGGCCAGCCGCAATGATGTGATTGGACTCTCAGTTATGATGTGTGCCTTTTCACTTTCATGTCGAAGCATATTTGTTTATGTGGGTACATTCACTATAAAGTACACATCTCATAGACATTGCATTGCACAGTATCGCTGGTGTTTTATTAGACAATGGACAAACGGACAATGTTAGACGGTCTTTCAGTTTGAATCATGCAGGTTATCTAAATAGTAAGCACTCAATAAACTCGAAAGGGTTATTGAATTGTTTGATAAAGATCTGACATCCGAGGTCACCGGATAAATGATCGCCTCTAAATACCGGCATATAGGCACTTACCGGCAGCGTATGAAGGTGCGAAGCATATAAGGAAAATGCTGATAAAATACCTCATCTTCTCTTTATCTGAAAAGAAAGAAATACAAAATTATCCCATAGATACTAAAAATGCATCCAAAAGCTTTTTCGGATGTACATACCTGCGTTAAAAAGCAGCTGTACCAAGCCAGAAAGACTGAGGCGGATAAATAAAATCGACTTCAAAAATTTTGAACACACATACACTAACATCAAATGCCACGGCATCAATCGACCAAAATCCCAAACGGCCCCATATAGTATACGAAGCGACTCGTCTCTGACTGACCTTGAGTGACCGACCGATCCAAGTTGCGCTGACCTCAGACTGGGGAACCGGGAGGGGTCCAACTGCCGGCCGCGATGGAAAGGTATGACGAACAGACGACGATGATGACCCTCACTATCCACCAGCGCTGCCTGATGTCCTCACTCCGGTGCTGACTCGGTGTGAGCCCTCCTTGACCTTGACTGGCGTCTGCTCGGGACACTCAGATATTGTCTAAAAGGTTGTAATTATGGAAATCATCACTACCGTCTCACCTCTGGAGTCCTTGCTGGCGCAGCAGTGCCCCCGCTGCCTGCCCCAGGTCACCTTCACTGCAGGGGTTTGACGTATTTATTCAGCGACTGCAGAGTGCAGACTGCTGCGCACGGTCCCAACCTTGCCACAGTAGAGTTGGACGCGGCCTTTGAGCACAGCTGTACAGTATACCGGTGACAGTAGAGGTGATGGTTACATGAACTCAGACGCGCACAGTCGCAACAGTCGCAAGGCACTACACCCGCCAGCTCGTCCAGTCGCGCCGCCGGACCCCGCTCTGCCCGCCTCGGCAAGCCGACTGACCCCGCCCCCTCCCTCCCCCTCGGCGACCCGACCCGGCGGCGCCGACTTCACGGTCGACATCGGTCGATCGGCCCCCGGCGGCGGCGGCGGTGGAGTCGACGGGAGGAGTCGGGAACGGCCCGCCCGGCCCCCGGCCTCTGGGCTGGCGGATTCGATCACAGCTTCATAATGCCTATACAGATGGGTACAGTCTGCGAATGGAGAACTCACAATGTCCGCTCGCTTTTCTCCACGTGATGTATTCAATAGGCAGACCTCGGGTGTTTCTTAGGTGGTGAGTGGACGACTGTCCTGAGACGAAGCATTACGCTCACCTCAGAGGGTGACTGAACCTTTGTCGTAGGGCGACAAATAATCCCCCCCCCCCCCCCCCCAGAGTGCAGCCCTTCAGAACAGGCAGCGCAGTCGACGATACGTTTTTCGAGTGGCAATATCAGGCCTTTTAAAGGAGGCAATATACTTGAATATACCTCCTAAGAGCAGCAATACTCCATTTCAAGGGCGTTAATAAGATGGCCGAGGACGGCTATGGGCACTGTGAGGGCAGTAATATGCCCATATAATGGCGGCACAGCGTCCTCAGAACGTGACAACACGCCTTATGCAGGCAACGACGTCGATGGCTTATTTTATCATCGTGCCTTTCTCGCCCGTAGATGCCCTTTGGCTTTGTGAGACTTTTTAGATGCTTACTCCAGTCGTTCAGAATTCTAATTATCTACCCTATTCAAATCGTGCGCCCCAAACGCAACCGATTTGCAGGAGCGCCGCAAGATTCAGCTTTTCCGGTTGCCGAATGCATTTATTGAACCATTTTCCAGAAAACTGAGACGATCATAGCTGCACCGTTCTTCACAACGCTTCCATTTGAATTGAACTTTCGCAGCACTAGAAGCCTTTGGTGTATGCCATATTATCAGTTCAGTGATCGAAATACATAAATATAACCGCGTCATGTAAAATATATTTCACATTCTGAAACCGTAACAAGCATCACATTGGAATTACAGGCAGGGCACACGATGTTATCAAGATCACAATGCCAGTTGTAAATAACCCACTCGGCAGTGACATGCTGTAATTATCCCCACGACCCCACCGTTCCACTAAAAGCCTCAACCAGAGTCCTAGACAACGGGCAGTGTCAAACAAATACCAAGCACCCTGCTTCACTACACCTGGAAATAAGTACCGGCGAGCAGCTAGTATCGTATCTACCTATCCCCAGTCGAGTTCACACGACCAGTCACCACCTAGCTGCAACCAAAAGAGTAAAAAAATCTCAGCATTCAAACCAACCAACGGTTAGTAGAAGCTAGTCCCGAGGTACACTAGCTAACACGGCACGCTATTGCACGTAGCGTAAAATAACGACCCTGGAATGCTTCCCTGCAGTAGCCCAGGTACAGCGCTCTCCAGCGAGACCAGAGCATCTCTACTCTACCCGGGAAGACAAAACGGTAACAATGGGGATCAATTATGCAGAGCAGTAACAAACATAACCAATAAATGCAGGCCCCAAGAGTTCCGGTCCTGCAAGCCAATCGTCAGACAAGTCGCAGCAAGATCACTTTACTTACATAGCCTCACAGGCATGGATGTAAGCGATTAGCGAACCCAGGCTTTTGTGCAAAACTGCTTCGCTAGGCGATAAGATGCGCTGCTGCAAAAACATAACCCGAATACAAGCTACGTTTCACAATTTACCCGTCACCAGTTCACCAAAACCATCTCAACACACATCACACACCATCCGGCAAACAGTATCACCCTCCTAGACTGATGTAAATTCAACACTGGCTAAATTCTTCACGCCTTTTTGGAATGCTTCACTATCTAGATTCTAGATCGTCAAATCACTACCAAAACTTATGTTATCGGCGTACCGCCGGCCGGGCGGTTGGGTTCGAAACCCACCCCATCCCAGCGTTTTCAAGTCCGACCGACCTGACATGGAGGTTAGGACAGTTTGCCGAGCTCGAACTTCTTAAAGGCCTCTGAGGCGGTGAAGATGACGGAGTCGATGATGCCGGCCACTGTGAACGTGCCTCCCACGATGGCGCATACCTGTGGACAGGGAGACGGAGGGGTTACATACGGGCCGTCACCGAGACAGCGGGGGCACAGAGACGCGGGCGTCACAGAGACGGTGCGTTATGGGCGGAGATATGGACGTTACGCATTAAACAGCCGAAACAGCGGCGTTACTGTGGTATTAGGGCAATTCCACGACAAATCACCTAATTTTTTTCCAATTGTTCACCATGACCTCTCCGATTTTGCTCAAATTTGGCATGTAAGTTCACCTATGGGCACTACTTCGTCCCAGTAAATTTTTAGTCTCTAGGTCACAGGGGTCATGAGATATGAGTCATGCAAATTTTTAGGTTTTCCGGAACATTGAAATATAAAGTATTTTTTATCTCTGCAACGGTTCACCGGATAAAAAAAAATATATATGAAATAAGAAGCGCAAAGGCTGGTGCGTCTAGCAAAAATGTGAACGAAACCCCAGGGTCATTTTTTGACCCTTTGACCTCGTGACCTTTTCTTGACCCCGTGACCTTTCAAATTTGTCCTATTTTAAAAATTCTGATTTTTTCTATCAGAAATGTCTTATCCATGCTCTTAATAGTGGTATGTGATTTGGTTGGTATATCGGACCCGTTGACCTCAAACTGAGGTCAACAATGTGGTCATGACCTGACATGAAAATGACATCTGCCGAGAACGTCGAGAATCATAGGCAATATGGGTGTCATATGAAAGCTTACTTCACGGAGAATACATTGGTGGTGTTTTTGAGTAGGTATGGGCCGGGTCAAGGTCACATTAGGTCATTGACCTAACGCAGCATTGTATTCTTTGAGGGTGGCGTATTTTATTTGTTTGGTAAGCCCAGTGATCAGCACACAATAAAAAGGAAACAAAACGTCATAAAACACCGTCTGTCTTTATTCAAAAAGCACCGATAAAATGCATTCACCCATATACACACACTCGCACAAAAACACAACACATACATACACCTTGTTCGAGGAAGATCTTTCAAACAAACCTCAGTAACACACGCGGTGTGAAGAACGAGTCTCAGAAGACTAGGAGAGCTTGAAGGCTGCTATGGTGTGGGAGTCGAGCGGTACAAAGCGGTGAAACGTCCTGGTACAGTCCACAGCAGAAGTAATGTGGGGTTTCAGTCATGGGTATGTTCTGCTTCTGAAGCTTAGGAACGATTAGTCAGACTACAATGAAACTTTAAATGTAGCTTATATGTATCGTCACCCTTGCAGCTGCAACTTTAGCTATTGACATCTTCTTTTCGATCACTCCGCATTAACCCGCGCCCCAGTGGCGGTCTCGGCCAACTTCGCCCTAGTGAGGGGGGGGGGGGGGCATATGTTACCACCCACCTCTAACTCAAAAACTAAAAGGGCTAGAAAGACGCGGTAAAAAGCAGTTGATAGCTCTCAATACGTACGTTTGAAAGTATCTCGGTCATTTTTCACCTTAGAGCAATATTGGGGTCACCAGAGGTCATCAAAGGTCAAAATTTGCCAATTGTCATTATATTTTTCAGAAAACATGCCGCTATCTCAGGAACTATGGTAGCTAGAAACACGCATGGAAAAGCAATCGATAGCTTTTGAACTCTTCTTTTGAAAAGGTCATTATCAATATTGTCCTCAGGTCAACGGTTTAGCCTCCAGAGGGCAAAAACTCCAAAAATAGCTGTTTTTACGAAAAGTGTTTTTCGACAATAACTTTCGACTACAAAAAGCCACGACATTTTTATTGCCAGAATCGTGTTCCCCTCACCGAGACACGTCGAATGAATTATAATTTGACCTTGAAAGGTCAACTTAAAAATTTGACCTCAGGTCAAGGTCATGACCTGACCGGAAAAGGTCATGTTGCATATCAGTCGATGCGTCTCAACAAGACAAACACAATGAGACCATCCCCAGCGTTCTATCTCTTTCCAATCGCGAGTGTTTGGCAAAAAACTGTTTGTAGCCTCAAATGACCTCGGATGACCTTTCTAGAGGCTATCAGCAAAAATGACACCTTGGTCATCACGAGTGGACTAAATCATTGTGATTCTGAAATATTTGGTCTGTTCCTATGCGTACACACGGATCTAGAGGCATTTTCATTTTTCTCCATTGACTTGTAATGGAAAGGTCATGCCACTGACCTGACCTTAGGTCACGGATATAAAAAATCCGAGATATACAAATTGTAGGCTCCCATAACAGCATGCAATCCACCAAGTTTAAAACCTTTCTGACAAACACTGCAGGCTGGACATGATTGCAAACTTTTTTTAAGGCTTGGTCAGTTAACTTGACCTGGTGACCTGACCTGACATGACCTGTGGTAAAAAATTTCACACATTGTCCAAAATTGATGTACCAAAAGCTACCCCAAGCGGCGCGGCGCTACGCGCCGCGTTTTTTTATTCACACGCGAAAAACGCGACAGGGTGGTAACATACTCGTATGCCCCCCCCCCCCCCACTGGGGCGAAGGTTAAACAATCGCCAGTCAAAGCCAACCGTTGAGATTGGTAAAACCCTACATTACTTTAGCGGTGGGCTGTACCTTCTACCTACCCTTCACCGTGCGGGCACTTATGAACCGTTCTCTTTCATTTTCGTCTTCGTTCCTGCTATTTGCGTTGCCGAAACGAAGAAGAAATGCATTTTATCGGTAAGGTGGTCCTCACAGTTTTACCAATACCATCGCATGCGCTTTTGCCATGCGAGGTGGCAAAAAATCCACTCACATTGAACACCGAAATCCTCGGCATGATGACATATATTTGCAAAATTGTATTTGTTTTTGTACTGGGACGCTGCTCCGTCAGAGAAGTATTGTATTTTTCAGTCTTGGGCATTCATTTCGAATGTAGGAAATAACCACTGCCTGAAATGCCGCTTCAGCTCCCGCGTCAGCTCCCGCAACGCAAATAGCAGAAACGAAGACAAAAAATGAAAGAACGCTTCACAAGTGCCCGTGCATGGTGAAGGGTACCAGGACGTTTCACCGCTTTGTACTGCTCGACTCCAATACCATAGCAGCCTTCAAGCTGTCCGAGTCTTCTGAGACTCGTTCTTCACAGCGCGTGTGTCACTGGGGTTTGTTTGAAAGAACTTCCTCGAACAAGGTGTATGAATGTGTGTGTTTTTGCGAGTGTGTTTATATGGGTATGTGTGCATTTTATCTCTGCTTTTTGAATAAAAAAGACGTTTTATGACGTTTTGTTTCCTTTTTACTGTATGCTGATCACTGGACTTACCAAACAAATAAAATACGCCACCTTCAAAGAACACAATGCTGTGTTAGGTCACTGACCTAATGTGACCTTGACCCGGCCCATACCTACTCAAAAACACCACCAATGTATTATCCGTGAAGTTAGCTTTCATATGACACCCATATTGCCTATGATTCATGACGTTCTCGGCAGATGTCATTTTCATGTCAGGTCATGACCACATTGTTGACCTCAGTTTGAGGTCAACAGGTCCGATATACCAACCAAATCACATACCACTATTAAGAGCATGGATAAGACATCTCTGATAGAAAAAATCAGAATTTTTAAAATAGGACAAATTTGAAAGGTCACGGGGTCAAGAAAAGGTCACAAGGTCACAAGGTCAAAAAATGACCCTGAGGTTTCGTTCACATTTTTGCTAGACGCACCAGCCTGTGCGCTTATTATTTCATATATGACTTTTTTGATCCGGTGAACCGTTGCAGAGATAAAAAATACTTTGTATTTCAATATTCCGGGAAACCTTAAAGGTAGTGTGCCAGCTTTCCTGGACCGTATGGAGTTAATGGCCCAGATAAGGAGAACCGGATTTTAAGAACTTATCCATACCTTCAAAACTCATGGAAACGTCTTAAATTCTTCAAATTTTGAGTACCCCAGTGCGAAATTCGCCCCGACGGGTTGTCGGTCGTACCCCAACCACATTTCACACCACTATGAACAATAAATGCACACACTGAAATCGCTATTACCGATATGCTCATCCAATCAAGTTTCGATAAACCCGTTCATCATCAGCTCCTGCGGTTTCGAACACGCCTGTTAGGTGGTGCGGTAGACCGCGCCCAAAGCCAGGGCCCCGGTAACGTGAGGTAGCCGAGTCAGGGCAGCGTGCGCTGACCCAAGCCGGAGCCGCGCGTCCTCCCGGTGTCCTGTGATAGCCCGGGGCTGCCCGCGGGGATGCGGTAGACCGCGCCCAAAGCTGCGGCCCCGGCTTGGGTCAGCGCACGCTGCCCCGACTCGGCTACCTCACGTTACCGGGGCCCTGGCTTTGGGCGCGGCTTCTGCTCATACTTTGTGGTGCGGTGGTGGTGCGTCGGGCTGCGCGCTCTGACTTCGGCCAAGAAAAATGCGTCAGCTGATCATTGTCATTTCTGCCACTTGCGTGTGGTGAAATGAGGTCATAACTTATGAGACGGCTTTTTCATATCAATTATTTTACATAAAATCATATTTCAAACCATAAATAATGTTCGACAGCCAAATAAAAGAAACAATACCAATACAGGCTTACAGTTAAAGGCTCGAAATTATGTTGTCTACGATTAGACAGCTGATAACTCATTCCCGTACGTCGTATGGTCGTAACACTATAATGACCTTTGCTTATTGTCACATGTGCGCCGCATTCGCGATTGTTGCCGACGCCTGTTTGCAGGTGAGCCCACTACAGTTGTTATACATATCGAAAAACCGATTAACTTTTAGGCGAAAAAGGCACTATTCCAGGCCCATTTTTGATTTTGTTTGCGATATTAGGTAAAAACAGAAGCTTCTTATCCTAGGAAAAATAAAATGGGAAATCTTTCAAAGGTGGCACACTACCTTTAAAATTTGCATGATCCATATCTCATGACCCCTGTGACCTAGAGACTAAAAATTCACTGGGACGTAGTAGTGCCCATAGGTCAACTTGCATGCCAAATTTGAGCAAAATCGGAGAGGTCATAGTGAACATGCCTAGGTGATCTGTCATGGAATTGCCCATTAGCGACATTAGGTTGGGGCGTTTCGGCGTAACTGGCGAAATAACCGAGACAAAGACCTTATCACGAGTTATCAGTGCCACTGGCAGAGACGCACGGGACAGCGGCGTCATCCATGTAATTCCAATGATGCCTAGACATTCAGGATGTGGCGGCATGAAACTTAATGACGCCCAGTGTGCAGCGCAGCTATTACATTTTCTTCCCGCCCGGTCGCTCAGAGCGCCACCTACCGACGTGATGAACGTGTAGAGCGGGGGCCGCCGCTCGTGGTAGCGCACTGTGATCGGGTTCAGCTCGTACTTGAACCAAATGGCCGGCGACCGACCGAGCTGCTGCCGCACCTGAGGACGAACAGACTAATCATCAACAGGGACGGGGACGGGTTCAAACAGTACGACAAACAGAGATGGATTTAAGCGCTGGGGCGGATACGAACGGATCTAGGCGCTAGGGCAGATAAGGACGATGGGTAGATCGGACAAGGACAAGGAAAAGATCAAACGGCCCACCATAAACTGATGGAGTGGTTAGGTTAGGAAATCACTGTGCTGGAACAAGTCTCATTACAACGATGCATGTCCCATTCACAGACAGCAAAAAAATAAAATCCAACAATCAACATCGAAGTAAAAACATTTCCGTCAAATAAAACAGGTACAAGCTACAACGTCGTAAGAAGCTGACCATCGTCATCCTCTCATGTTAACCAAAAACTACTAATCAGTAAAGCGGTCGGTTGCCTCATCACGCCGTACTACTGACCCTTGAGACGTAGGTGTACTGGTAGCTGACCACCTCGCGGCCCGACAGGTCCACGAATACGGTCGGCACCACCTTCAACAGGTTCTCGTGTGCAGAGGCCGCTGCGGAGAGGACAGAGGAGGGTTAGCAGAGGAGAAGAGAGGTCCGAGTACCCACAGTGACGCACCGGGCAGTGGTGGGGACTCGGGCCGCTTCGCTCACAGACTTTGAAAGGTGACTGACTCTTAGGTAGTAAGCGACTTATGAGGTTTTCACTTTTCGGTGGAGCAGCACATTACCTTCTGAAAAAACCTGAAAATTATAATGCTACTAAGCAAGCCGACACCGATGAGCGTCGGTAATTCATATTCAAATATGTTATTTCGAAATATGTCAGTAAAATGCAGCAAGACGCAGCTTAAATTTACTCCAAATAGTTAAAACCATAGAGCCCTCAGTTTCAGACAGACCAGATGCATCACTGAACAGTGTTCCACGCCGTCACTGAACCACCCCACCCCAGTGTCCCTCTCACAGAGAGAGCGCCAGCCCAAGTGAAGTACCCGTCACTGACCAGGGTGCTCCAGCGCCCGGTGGCCGTCCAGCGGACCGAAGCTGGCGTCCCTCAGAGCTGCCGCCGCCGCCGGCGGCAGCGGCTCGCCGAAGCGCAGCTCGTGCAGGACGTGTGCGAAGTCGGCTCCACTGGCCGGCTGGCGCACCGCCGAGTGAGTCGACACGTGGAAGTTTCCTGAAGGATATGAAGGCTGACGTCAGGAGGGTGTGTTCCAGGGAGATCCAAATCCTCAATCGTCGCGGATAGGGTACTGTTTGGAAGTGTACACTTATCAGTTCGGAGCATTATCTTATCTTACTGATAACTGAAAGTAGATACAAAACAATAACAATGCCTGAACGCCATAAAGGTAGCCCAGTAAAAATCACTTGCATTTATAATTAGGTGTACTTTGGACTGAGGAGGTCCGTGGGACGATTGCGAGCAATTTCCCGGTTCGCCGACGACTTTCTGACCTGGCACCTTGTTGATGTGGAAATCGGCGCTGAACAAGCAGCCCTTTCCGTCGACGATGGGCGCCTTCTCTGTGTTCTGCACCATGCCTACCTCGTGGCGACCCTGGTCATCCTGAATGTCCAGACCCACATCTGGCAGCAGCACGAGAGTTGAGGGCAGGCAAAGGTGTATGTCGGTTGCTCCTTTAAACGCTTAGGCATGACAAAAATGCCCTGGTATTTCTGGTATGATTCTGGTATGATCATTACATGCTTACTGGTATGATCAATGATCATGTTTTATGTTTAAATAGTGCATTCAATAGTACCTGTTTTAAAAGCTGCATGTAGTGTTAACCATTTAAAAGTTGTGATTCAAGAGTCAATGAAGGCATTTTGTATTGCCATTATCAATAAGGTGATCATATATTCATGAGCATTGCTGGGTAAGTTGTACTTCATTTTTACAGAGTCAGAGTGTACCTAACCAAGCATATGGAGTAGGAACCAGAAAACATGATAAGGAATGTGTACTTACATTCACACTTGAGGCGAGGTAGGGAGATCTTCAAGTGAACGTTGATGGTGCCAGACAGGTTGCCAGGGTTGTCCACAAACAGGTCTGATACACTGCAAACAATGTTCAGCACGTCAGTCATCCTGCGTGCAAGACTTACAAACCAAAAGTAGCATGCGGGAGAGATAAAGTTGGATACCTCTGAAAGCAATATCAAGCACATTAACCCGCGCACCGACGGGGGTCTGCGCCAACTTCGCACCGACGGGGGGGGGGCGGATGACCGCCCCCCCCCCCCCTGAGATCTCGAGAACGAAGCAAGATAGCGAAAAGCGGTAAACGGCATCGGATACGCACGGTCAAGATCTACAATTTTTACTAAGGTCATTTTCAGGTCAGGTTAAAGATGACGTCACAGGGGTCGAAAAAGTCAAAATGGCGGCGCTAGATATGGAGAGTTTTTCTCGAATAACTTTCGAATGAGTCGAGATAGGAACGAACTAAGGGCATCATCGTGATCCTCTCGTCAATCCGCATCGAATGATATATATGTTGACCTCGAAAGGTCAAGGTCAAAGGTTGACCTCAGGTCACGTGACCTCGAGGTCATCATGTATATCATTCGATGCGTCTTGACGAGCTGAACACAATGAGACCATCCACGCGGCTGTATCTTGTTCATGTACGGAGTTATTGGCCAAAAACCTTTGGTGACCTTTGATGACGACACGTCACATGACCTCACAGCTGCCCAACAGCAAAACAGACCTCAAGGTAGTGAAGGTTGATCGTATATGAAGTCATGTATGGTATATGTGGCCATTCCGACCCGTTTTAGTTTTAAAAACAGGGAGTTGATTTTTCCCCCATTGACTTATAATGGGGAGGTCGCGAAATTGACCTGACCTTAGGTCACCGATATCAAAATTCCGAGATATACAAATTGTAGCTACTAATGACCTAATAACATCCTGCGAGTTTCAAGGGCCTCCGACATCTACTGTAGCTCTGGCGAGGTGACAAAGTTGCAAAAAAGTGACTTGAGGTTGGGTCATTCAAAGTGACCTGGTGACCTGACCTTTAAAGGTAGGAGGTTCAAACTTGCACACCATGTGTAAAATTGATGAGGGAATAGTCGTACCAAATTTCTGATTCACGTTTGATTCAGCCAAAAAGTTTTTGAACGATGCTTTTTTTATTCAATTAAAAAATAAATATCAAAAATATCAGGGATAGTATTGTATTTGTTGTGCTCTTTTTGTTGTCATGCAATGGCAGTAGTGTTAACACTAGGGTGACCCGCGTGCTCCGCAACGCGAAAAGGGATATTTTCGATCGGCGGGTGTTCGGTTGTTCTTGTGTCGGTTGGGTTATCTATCCATTTCGGTCGATTGCTTTTTGACGGCTAAACGTTTTGGTTTGTGGAAAAAATATCCACCGCATCGAGGTGCCCGTGTCTGATAAGCATGCTTTCCACTTCAGAATCTGTCAAATGTGCTTTATAATTGAGGTGCGTAGTTTGAAGACAAATGAAAGGCGTAGATAATTTTCGCTAAAAATCGTTTTGCAGAGGTTTAAAACATTTATATTTTTAAGAATACTGTTGCTTGTCATGCAAACGTGATGATTGGATCTTGGAGAGAATTGAATGCTCTTTCTAATGATAGCATTTTCAATTGTCAAGCGTATCAGGTTCAGCAGCAAATCCCGTGTATCTTTTTAGTGGCACATTATGGACAAATACCATTTTAATTCAGCGATTTTTTCACATTGTTTTTGATCAATTAGCTGTCCACAATTTTTCCATGAGAGGCGGTACATTTCTCTTGGCAATTGACGTTGTTTCAACTCTCTCAGTCTGATGGTCACGGGAAAATAAAATAAAATCCAAAATCCGTTTAAAATGGCACTTTTTGAAATGAAATTGCCCTCACACTTGCACGTGGCGCGTGCCACCCCTGCACCGCACACTATTCGATTGCCCGTTCGATTCTCTACACGATGCTGTTTTCCCCGTGCCGATCGGGCGCACGGCTACCGAGATATTGCACGGGGAACGGACCCGTGTCGGGCAAATTTAGCCATTTTCGCCCGTTTTTGCCAGCCGATTTATACATGTAAAGTCTATGACGCGAATTTGCACTTTTCGGGCACGCGCCACGCGCTCGCTATCGATCCGATCAAGCCGAGACCGCTCAAAGGCACGTTGTCCATCCTTGTTCTATAACTTGCGCAAATTTCAGCGCGGTAGGTGCAACGGTGTGATCTGTAACCCGCGCTACGTAGCACCATGTTGCGACCTTCGTAATAGACAGAAACTACGCCTTCCTCAAATAGTAATATAGATTTGTTGATAATGAACTATGTTCATTCACTTCAATTTTTTAAAGTTCATGAATCATTCATTTTGTTTGATTCAATCAACCCTGATTCTCAATGTGTTTGATTCAATCATGGCTTGTGAATCAAACAATCCTGACGGTGAATCAAACCTTTTTGATTCAACAAATTTTGTTTGATTCAATCCAATCTATTCAATCACGGATGAATCAAACACCAGTCTGATGCTGAAGATGTAAAATTAAGTCAATACAACTGGCAAATACAATGAGCTGAGAAAGTGATATTGAAACTATGTCAACTGTTAAAAATGAAGGTGAATCATAAGATCTTATGGCCAATTTGAGCTTAGCTGAAATGTTACAATGTTGAGTTCATATGATAAAATTGCAAAAGACAGGGTAAATGAAGGAAAAACAAACAGTAGAAGGTACAGATTGCCACTTGGATACATAGCTAGCAGGCAGGTAAGTACCTAACACAAATGTTACTGACATGTCAGGTGAGATGAAGTTGTACAGTTCCGAGAACAGCATCAGGCACATGAATGAGCAGCAGCAGATGGAGATGACAGCCCCAGTCACAGTTGGCTGTGTCAGGTCCTTGGGCACCTTCCGGTACACATCTAGTCTGAAAACAATACAAATGCATAATGAGCATAATTTGATAAGAGCCTTTACATACCACATATGAGAATTGAGAGCCATAGGGCTCCTATTATTATAACTTCTCTTACACAATCTTAACACGGCATAAACATTTTAGTGCATCCTCCTCTATGCAGAACATGTCAACAGACAAACATATTTTTCAGGCTGAATAAAGCAGCACAGGTCACTAGCATGCCGTGGAGCTCTCTGAAAGCAATTCCACAGCCTGAGCCACTGAGTTGAGATATTATGTCTAATCCACTAGCCTGCATGGAGGACAAAAGCAGTTCTCATTAGGTAGGTACCTACCCCTATTCATACTTAACTACAACTTAACTAAATGCCTTAAATATAGGTATTTAGGTACCTACCTTTTGACATCAAACACCATGTTGATGTTGATAACCCCTTTCAATACTTCAGGTCAATTCGTGATGTGCTATGCGATTATTTTCTATGTATGTGATGCTACTCAATTCACTACTTTTTTACTATCACAATTACAAGGATAAATTATATAACAGAAAATAAAGAAAGCGGACAGGCCTGTCAACTTAAAAAGTATAAGAAATTTGTTTGTCATGTTTTCAAGGACGCCGGTGAAAACAGGGCGCCGGAGGGCATGTTAGTCACGTGATATTTGGAAGTTCTCCCCCTCCGAGGGCCTTCTACATGCCAAACGTCACGTGTAAATTTCACGAACCTTGATCAAATCGCCCCAGGCGCCCTGTTTTCACCGTCGTCCGTTTTCAATCGTAACCGGACAAATCTTCGTATGGCATTTCTTCGTCGCGCAATATTTCGTCCGCATTTCTTCGTCCGCAAATCTTCGTCGGCGCATTTATTCGTGTCGCATTACTTCGTCTCGCATTTCTTCGTAGGTGCAAAAATTCGTAGCGCATTTCTTCGTATCCGCATTTCTTCGTCGGCGCATTTCTTCGTCAAGCATTTTTTCGTCCACGCATTTCTTCGTCTACGCAAATCTTCGTCCGCATTTCTTCGTCCACGCAAATCTTCGTCTGCGCAAATCTTCGTCCGCAAATCTTCGTCCCCGCAAATCTTCGTCCGCAAATCTTCGTCCGCATTTTTTCGTCCACGCATTTCTTCGTCTACGCAAATCTTCGTCCGCATTTCTTCGTCCACGCAAATCTTCGTCCACGCAAATCTTCGTCCGCAAATCTTCGTCCGCAAATCATCGTCCGCAAATTTTCGGCCGCATTTTTCGTCCACGCATTTCTTCGTCCAATCAAATCTTCGTCCGCAAATCTTCGTCCGAAAATCTTTGTCTGCGCTATCTTCGTCTCCGCAAACACTCGTCCACAAATGTGGTTCAATAAAACCATGAAGAAATATCAGACAGTCAAGTTAATGACGAATTTGATGCATGGAATGGATGATCGAAACTTTTGAAGTCAGGTAGATGAGGTCAGTCAGGTGAAGCTATTGTATTTGGAGCCGACAATTGTAACATTCCATATCATTTGTGTCCCGGACATTCTTTTTTTCGCAGTCATTGAATGACAATATAATCTCTTGTACCCTCGCCGGCATAGGCGGCGGAACGGGGAGGGCACCGGGGCACCGTTCCCCTCTTTAATTTTGGCCTTTTAACAGTAGCCCTATGGGCGTTGCATGGAAAGCATATTGGACCAAAAGTCGGCAGTGCCGTGCCCCCCTTAATTGAAGATGTTCCGCCGCTACTGCCGCCGGACCTATTTGTTTTCTACGGTACACGCCGGCCGAGGGGGCGGGTACGACCCCCCCCCCCATCGCCGTTTCGCCACTGGTGGAGCTAGCGCGTCGCGGAAAAAAACGAGCGCGTGCGCCGTTACGAGCCGCAGAGATTAATACCCGATTTTAAGGCCTTCTAGGTCAGGGGTCGGCATATACGGCCCGCGGGCCGGATCCGGCCAGGTGGGTGACGGTTGGATCCGGCCCGCGACCATCTGACGTCCGGCCCGCGGCTGGTATCAGCGACTTATATCGTGTTCCGGCCCGGCGCCCCCCCCCCCCCCCCACACACACACACCGCCTGGAAGGTTAAGCGAGTAGACCACGTGAAGCCGCCAAGTGCACGCAGCTGCAGCAGTCGTTGATGCTGCGCGCAAAAGCTGCTGACCAAATCTTACCGTTGCAAGTTTTGTCTAGAAGTAGAATTAGATGAAAACACCCGCAAATGGTGTTTATAAACTCATAAAGTGTGCGAAGGAAGAACTGTTGTGCCAAAGCACATTTGAGTCACTTTTATATCGGAGTCGATTTATGAAGGAACCGCGGGCCGGAACACGATGTGAGTCGCTGATACCAGCCGCGGGCCGGACGTCAGCTGGTCGCGGGCCGGATCCAACCGTCACCCACCTGGCCGGATCCGGCCCGCGGGCCGTATGCCGACCCCTGACCTAGAAGGCCTTTGAAATCGGGTATTAATCTCTGCGGCTCGTAACGGCGCACACGCTCGTTTTTTTCCGCGACGCGCTAGCTCCACCAGTGGCGAAACGGCGATGGGGGGAGGAGTCGTACCCGCCCCCTCGGCCGGCGTGTACCGTAGAAAACAAATAGGTCCGGCGGGCAGTAGCGGCGGAATATCTTCAATTAAGGGGGGGGGGGGCACGGCACTGCCGACTTTTGGTCCAATATGCTTTCCATGCAACGCCCATAGGGCTACTGTTAAAAGGCCAAAATTAAAGAGGGGAACGGTGCCCCGGTGCCCTCCCCGTTCCGCCGCCTATGCCGGTGAGGGTACAAGAGATTATATTGTCATTCAACGACCGCAAAAAAAGAATGTCCGGGACACAAATGAGGAATGTTACGATTGTCGGCTCCCAAATACAATAGCTTCACCTGACTGACCTCATCTACCTGTCTTCAAAAGCTTCGATCATCCATTCCTTGCATTAAATTCGTCATTCACTTGACTGTCTGATATTTCTTCATGGTTTTATTGAACCACATTTGTGGACGAATGTTTGCGGAGACGAAGATAGCGCAGACAAAGTTTTGCGGACGAAGATTTGCGGACGAAGATTTGGTTGGACGAAGAAATGCGTGGACGAAAAATGCGGACGAAAATTTGCGGACGAAGATTTGCGGACGAAGATTTGCGGACGAAGATTTGCGGACGAAGATTTGCGTGGACGAAGAAATGCGGACGAAGATTTGCGTAGACGAAGAAATGCGTGGACGAAAAAATGCGGACGAAGATTTGCGGACGAAGATTTGCGGGGACGAAGATTTGCGGACGAAGATTTGCGCAGACGAAGATTTGCGTGGACGAAGAAATGCGGACGAAGATTTGCGTAGACGAAGAAATGCGTGGACGAAAAAATGCTTGACGAAGAAATGCGCCGACGAAGAAATGCGGATACGAAGAAATGCGCTACGAATTTTTGCACCTACGAAGAAATGCGAGACGAAGTAATGCGACACAAATAAATGCGCCGACGAAGATTTGCGGACGAAGAAATGCGGACGAAGAATTGCGCGACGAAGAAATGCCATACGAAGATTTGTCCTGGAATCGTTTTCAATGTCAACATACGTCTTGAGATAGTTCGTAAGAAGTGCGTCATAGTTGTACTCGCTGACACAGATCAAGGTAGCCAAATAAATTTTAATAGTAATGTATTTTATAATGGGTTTAAGAAATTGAATTTAATGGACTTTAACCCACGAGCCGCTGGGGGGGGGGGCATAAAGTTGCCCCCCCTTTACGTTTTGTGAAATATCTCCGAAACCTGATGAGCTACGAACCTGAAACTTGGCATAGCTTCAAATGAATACCTAGGCAATGTTTGAGGAAAGTTTGGTGGTTGTAGCACCTAAGATGACGTCACAGTGACGTCATAAAGTTTTGTCGTTTTCCGACATGGACCGTTTCTGATGACGCTGAGCATGAAACTCGACTGTAAATGAACTAGACAGCACCTGCTGTCATCCTAAAACATCTTACTACACTTCCATCTAGTTTCTGACCAATAATCGGCCCTTTATATTCGGTCCCATATATGTGATGTATCGTGAGGAATATGAGAGTCGCAAATCTATAATTTCACTTATGACGTCACTGTGACGTCATTTCAAATGGGATCGACACCAAATTTGGACACAACCTCGGCTAGGTATTCAGGAAGATGTGTGCAAAGTTTCGCTTCTCTATCTCTTCGCGTTGCGACGATATCGTCGCAGAAGTAAAGGGGGGGCAACTTTATGCCCCCCCCCCCAGCGGCCGGCGGGTGGCGCGGAGGCCCAGCGGCCGCCGGGTTAAGCTATTTTGAGTAATGTGCAACTAAGCTATATAAGTTACCAATTGTTCAAGCATCATCATTCTTTCCTTTTCAGGACATCTGCAAAGATTTTTTCAAGAAAACTCGTAGAAAGCGGCGGATTGCTTGCGACGACCAGTCAATCGACGATGCTAAGGTCAAAACCTAACCTTGAATTATTCAATATCGCGCATCCTCCAAAACATCGATGACCCTGTCCCTGACCCAGCTGACCGTTGGCCTGTGACCTGTTTCTTGTGACCATGTCGGCCGGAATCGCGATATAGCGTTAGCTTCGGCGTTGGTATAGCGTTGGATACCTAAAATGATTTATTTTAGACGTTGAGCAAAACGTGAACACAAAAAATACGTGTGGGTACAATGACACTGGACCCCGGCCAAGATAATAAGGGTTGCAAGAGCACTACCACCGGAAGCGATAATTGGGCCGGATCCAGTTCCGGTCCCTTCCGAGTCTGGGTTCGGGTCCCGGTAATTTTATGTAACGGAAGTTAGCAGGGATTCAGCAGGGGTTCAGCAGGGATTCAGCAGGGATCGACGGCCCCTACTTTCACCCATAGGCATGCATACAAATTTCATCATCTTTCGAGCGAGCTGGAGAAAAAAAACAAGATACCAATGTAACAATGACTTTGCCTCATTACGATGAATGGAGCTGAAACTAAAAAAAAGGACTATATCGAGCCAAAATCAGCAATTCAAATGACACCCTTCATTTGAACGTGAAGGATTTCCTCTGATGACGTCATCACGGCGCCTTTATTCCCCTAGTGAACTAACCTGAGTTGTAAAGGAATCTTGGTTAAACGGGCATTGTTTCCCTGCATTGACAAAACTTTCAAATTTTCACCCCTTTAAATTTGTAAGTCCAACGTCAATAAACGCATACCCTCGCCTGCCACGAAAAGTTCTTGTATAATCTTGCATCCGGTTAGCATTTCCACACTCCACCGCCTCCACCGCGGCACCCCAGTCCAGGCAGTGCTTCGCAGCACCAGAGCTCTCCTCATTCCAGCCATTTCGCTTCGCCTCGACACTACCCATCGCCAGTCAGTAATGGATTGGATGCTCGTCACTTGAGTCGGTCCCACAATTTTCTTAGTTCAAAAGTTATTTACGAAAAACTTTTTTGTCAATAACGGTCATATTGGCTTTACTTGACCTCTCGGGAGCCTAAGCCGTTGACTTGAGGTAAATTCTGATGAACATTATCAAAAGAACAGTTTAAAAGCTGCCGGTTGTGTTCTTTCGCTGCTTCCTACCTATTATATTTTCTGAGATAGCAGCACGTTATATGTAGGTACCAGCAGCCCGTAAAATGGTTACTTGATATGGCTAGCTTAGTGGAGCGTGGATACACGAGCCGGGACCGGAGCCTCCGGGACATTTTGCACAGAGCCGAAATCGGAACCGAGGCTGTCAAAACTTTTGATCAAATGCTTGCGATGTTTTGCTTTCGATGTTTGATTTCGTGAAATCTTTTGCGACTTACGCTCTTTATTCTACAATCATTTACCTACAAGATTATTCTATACGAATATATCCCGCGCACCGACGGGGGTCTGCGCCAACTTCGCACCGACGGGGGGGGGGCGGATGACCGCCCCCCTGAGATCTCGAGAACGAAGCAAGATAGCGACAAGCGGTAAACGGCATCGGATACGCACGGTCAAGATCTACAATTTTTACAAAGGTCATTTTCAGGCCAGGTCAAAGATGACGTCACAGGGGTCGAAAAAGTCAAAATGGCGGCGCTAGATATGGAGAGAGTTTTTCTCGTAGGTTCGCGCTCGCAAAGACAGTGGTGTGGTTTCGGGTCTATGTATTGGCTTTCCCACACTGTCTTTGGGTGAGGGAAAAAGCCCATAGCCGATCACAAACAATCAAATGATAAAGCTTTTCACAGAGCATAAGTATGTCTAACACAGTTGCTGGCTAGATAGGTAGGGGAGAGTGGGGCAAGTCGCCCCCGTTAAGCTAAAAATGCTCTCGCGGGCAAACTTGAGGAAGTTTGTCGCTAAAAAGCAATTTTATTAAAGTGTAATCATTTTACCAACTGATCAATTACACATAGCCGCCGCAGAATGCGTTTGTTAGGAATAATACGCGTTTTCCTCGAGCAAGTCATTTCGAGCATCTTACCCCTTGGGTGGGTAAGACGCCCACCCCGTGGGGAAAGATGCACAATACTACAACGGCTCACGATTGTTTGGAATACGTTAGGGATAGAGAGCTAATAATGGGCATAACTGACCTTTGATTCAATGAGGATCTTTTGACACCAAAGTCTTTTTCAGGTCGGGTTATGTTACTGATTTGTGATGCTTCCTTATGACGATCACGCTGCAAGCGAGCCTTTGCTTGGTCCAAAAATGTCGAAACGCTCTCAGTGCGAAGGAATCTTTCACAGAGAGATGAAACTTAGATTATATAGCAAGCTGCCAAGTCTTCACAACTTGTAGGTACCTATATCTCAGATTTTTCCAAACGGACACTTTATCACTGCGACCTTAGACCTGATTTAGGGGCGTCTTTCCCCGCAAATACCTGGGCGTCTTACACGTTTGTGTCCACTAACATTGAACGATATGCCCAAAAAATAACTGCAGTTGAAATGCAGTTTATTGTGGCGTCAATTAAGAGGGAAAGGTTACAGATGCACATACAAAAACAAAGAAATAGGGTACTTGATAAACTAAACGAATAATTGTTGCATTTAATGGGACCGAACAAAAGTACAAAACTAGCAAAAATACATTTTTGCTCATCCGCGTCTCAAACTTCACCAAAGACACACATTTTTTTTATAAGTAACCAATCTTTGCTTCTACTTTACACAGGGACCATGATAAACACCTCAACGTTGCTACTTTTAAGAATAGAGGGTACTGGGCGTCTTACCCAAGGGGGCATCTTGCCCCACTCTCCCCTACATATGCCAAAGCTGGCGGCGGTGGGGCGGACGGTGGATGTCGCGCCAAATCGAACCGTGCGCTCAGGTGACACGCGCGCCGTGAAATGGCCCGGCGCAGCCGGCTACCACTCGGGTCACATTGTAGATGGCGCTGGGCTCGCGCTCGCCCGCGAGAAAGGTCATTTGTGCTCGTGCGCGCAAAAATGCTGCATTTCTCGAATAACTTTCGAATTAGTCAAGATAGGAACAAACTAAGGGCATCATCGTGATCCTCTCGTCAATCCGCATCGAATGATATATAATTTGACCTCGAAAGGTCAAGGTCAAAGGTTGACCTCAGGTCACGTGACCTCGAGGTCATTATGTACATCATTCGATGCGTCTTGACGAGCTGAACACAATGCGACCATCCACGCGTCTGTATCTTGTTCCTGTACGGAGTTATTGGCCAAAAACCTGTGGTGACCTTTGATGACGTCACATGACCTCACAGCTGCCCAACAGCAAAACAGACCTCAAGGTAGTGAAGGTTGATCGTATATGAAGTTATGTATGGTATATGGGGCCATTCCGACCCGTTTTAATGGTAAAAACAGGGAGTTGATTTTCCCCCATTGACTTATAATGGGGGCATTCCACGATAGATCGACCAAAAATAAATAAAATTTACACCCTCATATTTTATTTTTTGCTTAAAATTGGTCTAATGGGTTGTGATGGTCGGGGAAGCCAGCTGTGCCAAGGATTTTTTTCTTCGAACAACGGTTTCCGAGATAAAGCCTCAGGCAATTCCTGGAGGTCACGCTGCAACCCTATGTTTGGCGGCTTATAACTCAGAAACTATTGGTTTTCTATGGTAAAAACTTTATATGGTTCAACTCGCAATCAACCAACAAACGTTTTGGCTATCTCGGATTTTCGATTTTTGAAAACTTTGATCACGTGACATCTTGACCTTTTTTTCGAAGAGTGACCTTGATATTTTCCCAACTGAAAGTTGCAATTATGTCTGATGAAGATTAAAGCCTTATCAATTGTCATTCATATGCGCAAATAAAAAAGTGGCTTTCGGCCTGCGTTGACCTCAGGTCAGGTCATTTTTATGACCTTCCCATTATTACGAGCGGGAGCGACAGCGAGATCTCGAGAACAAAGCAAGATAGCGACAAGGGGTAAACGGCACAAAGTACACATGGATAAGGTCTACAATTTTTACTAAGGTCATTTTCAGGTCAGGTTAAAGATGACGTCACAGGGGTAAAAAGAAAGTCTAAATGGCGGCACTACATATAAATGAAGTTTTTCTCGAATAACTTTCAAAGTATCCCAGCTAGGAACAAACTAATAGCACCATCGTGATCCTCTCGTCGATCCGCATCGAAACATGTGTATGTTGACCTCGAAAGGTCAAGGTCAAAAGTTGACCTTAGGTCACGTGACCTTAAGGTCATCATATATATCATTCGATGGGCCTTGACGAGCTGAACACAATGAGCCTATCCGCGCGGCTGTATCTCAAACCTGCAAGGAGTTATTAGCAAAAAAAAAAAACATTTGGTGACCTATAATGACATCACATGACCCAAGAGCAACGTCACAGTTGACCAAGAGCAAAAAAAGGTCTCAAGGTAGTCAAAGTTAGTCGTATATGAAGTCACTCATGGTATATTAGGCAATTCCGACGCGTTTTAGTGTAAAAACAAGGGAGCTGATTTTTCCCCAATTGACTTATAATGGGGTGGTCAAGAAATTGACCTGACCTCAGGTCATCGGTATTGAAATTCAAAACGAACTGGCGCTAGGTGAAAGCAAACACAATGGTGCCTGTTCCACGTCTCTTTCTTTATTAGATCAAAAGGTACAGCCAAAACTATTTTGACTTCCTTTTTACCCCTGTCACGTCATCTTTGACCTGACCTGAAAATGACCTCCGTAAAAATTGTAGACCTTATCCGTGTGAATCCTGTACCGTTTACCGCTTGTCGCTATCTTGCTTTATTCTCGAGATCTCGCGTCACTCCCGCTCGTAATAATGGACAGGCCATAAAAATGACCTGACCTGAGGTCAACGCAGGCTGAAAGCCACTTTTTTTATTTGCGCATATGAATGACAATTGATAAGGCTTTAATCGTCATCAGACATAATTGCGACTTTCAGTTGGGAAAATATCAAGGTCACTCTTCGAAAAAAAGGTCAAGATGTCCCGTGATCAAAATTTTCAAAAATCGAAAATCCGAGATAGCCAAAACGTTTGTTGGTTGATTGCAAGTTGAACCATATAAAGTTTTTACCATAGAAAACCAATAGTTTCTGAGTTATAAGCCGCCAAACATAGGGTTGCAGCGTGACCTCCAGGAATTGCCTGAGGCTTTATCTCGGAAACCGTTGTTCGAAGAAAAAAATCCTTGGCACAGCTGGCTTCCCCGCCCATCACAACCCATTAGACCAATTTTAAGCAAAAAATAAAATATGAGGGTGTACGGCTTTGGTCGATCTATCGTGGAATGCCCCAATGGGGAGGTCGCGAAATTGACCTGACCTTAGGCCACCGATATCAAAATTCCGAGATATACAAATTGTAGCTACTAATGACCTAATAACATCCTGCGACTTTCAAAAGCTTCCAACATCTACTGTAGCTCTGGCACGGTGACAAAGTTGCAAAAAAGTGACTTGAGGTTGGGTCATTCAAAGTGACCTGGTGACCTGACCTTGAAAGGTAGGAGGTTCAAACTTGCACACCATGTGTAAAATTGATGAGGGAATAGTCGTACCAAATTTCGCGGCGCTACGCGCCGTGGTTTTCCCGCTATTCGCGAAAAACCTCAGGGGGGCGGATATCCGCCCCCCCGTCGGTGCGCGGGATATACTTTACGAACTTTTGTCGTACGATCTTTTACAACATACGATCTTTATCTTACGAATATTTTCCTATGATCTTTTTTCATACGATCATTTGCTTTACGATCTTTTGCTTACGATCATTTGCTTACGATCTTTTGTCGTACTGTCTTTTACGACATACGATTTTTATCTTACGATCATTTCCCTGTGATCTTTTTTATACGATCTTTCGCCTTACGATCTTTTGCTTACGATCTTTTGTCATACGAACTTTTACGACATGCGATCTTTATCTTACGATCATTTTCCTATGATCCTTTTTCATACGATCATTTGCTTTACGATCTTTTGCTTACGATCTTAAGTCGTGCGATCTTTTGCGACATACAATCTTTATCTTACGATCATTTTCCTACGATCTTTTCACATACGATCTTCTGTCTTACAATCTTCTGTCTGTGTCACGTAACCGTCCCTCGTGCACGGCCTGAGGTATGATAGTCCAATATAACCCGCGCCCCGCTGGGCTATTCAGCCATACGCGCCCTGCTGGGGGGGGGGGGCAGATTCTGCCCCCCCCTGTCTAACTTCCGAACCGATGGTCGTAGAAAGACGGGGAAAACGGCAATCGAAAGCTCTCAACAAGGCGGATCTTAAGAGCCCAAAATTTTTTGCTTAAGTAGGTCAGAGGTCAGGTCAAGGTCAGGTCAAGGGTACAAAATGCAAGTTCTACAGTATCGGCCTTGCACCGTAGTTGGCGAAGAATGGACTGAGACTGATTGCCCAAAACGTGTTCTTAGACTACCAAGACAATATTCGTTGCACACAATGTCATTCAAAGGTCAAGGTCAAGGTCAGGTCAGGTCAGGTCACCAAAAGCAAAATATAGAAAAGGGCATGTGCGACACATGTTTTATGGGTCATTTTACTCATGTAATTCAATAGGCACACTCAATAAGTGATATAGACCACCTCTGGATGAATTTCAGGCCGAGGTCAGGTCAAGGTCAGGTCAAGTGAGGTCAAATTTTGAAGTTGGTTGTTAAGGCCTAAAAAGGTGTCTATCCGATGCAGTTTTTCACGACGAATCGAATGGTGCTATTTTTGTTTCCGTATGAGGTCTAGAACTTCCAAAAAAAAACATTTTAAAAAATTTTTGTGTGTCGTGACGTCATAAAATTTTGAATAACTCCCATATTTTTGAAGCGATTCTTCTAAAAATTAGTATGTAGGTGCACATAGACCACTTCTTTGACATATATTCCTGTTTTTTCGATACACTCAAAATTTTGGATTTTATAAATAATTTCTCAAAAAAGTCAGTTTTTTTAGAAAATTTTGGCCAAAATCCAAAATTTTCAAAAAACCGAGATAACCATTTGATAGACAAAGTAGACTCACGTATAACCTTTTTTGTTACGTCTTGATTCCTTTAAAAATGAAGATGTTATCGGCGTTTGAAATTTTGCCGTTTTTTTAGGCGAAAATGGCGAACATGACGTCACTAAAACGTCAATTTCTCAAACATTTTCCGACGGATTTCGCTCAAATTTTCAGGGAACGTGTCAAATTGATGTATGATAAGGTACTGAAAGTTTGACGTCGCTGGCGTAACGCGTTTAGAAGTTATTGGCGAAAAACGGGAGGGGGGGCAGATTCTGCCCCCCCCCCCCAGCGGGGCGCGGGATAACCAATGCCCCAGGTGAATAGTCCTCTGGTAGGGCTGCCGGCTGGGTACGATGCCGCCACGCTACTGAGTTGCAGCCCGGTACCCACCCGATGTTCTCGAGAGTCCTGCGCACTTCCCGTGCAAACTGCGCGGTGTAAGTACATGTGCACATCTCACGTCCCACATAGCATTCACACCACATCTTGCTTCCCACGTTTCCTGAGAGTCGCGTCAGCTGTGTCTTGTGACTAAGTATGGAGCAGTTGGCTGAATCTGCCTCTGTTGGCTATATAAGTCGCTCCCGGCCCACCTGCAACATAAGCATCCCTATCGCCGACCAGACATGACGCTGCGCGAGCTCTGGCTGCGAGTTCTCGCTGCTCTGTTCCTGACGGATCTGGCGGCGAGCGAATGTCCCACCAACACCTGGCTGGAGACGGGCGACGGCAACTGCTATCTGCCGCTACTCAGCCCGCCGTTCGACATGCCGACCGTCTACAATGCAACCGAGATGTGCAAAATCATCGAGGAAACAGCCTATCTCGCAGAAATCTACAACGAACATGACCAAGCTGTGGTACGTAAACGTATAACTAATTGTACTTCAGTATAGGGGAAGGGCCGGGGACGTTTTTTTTTTTGACAACGGCCACAGTTTATTTACACAATTCACATAAAAACATCGGCAAAAAAAGCATGAAACGTTGTGCTCACCATCGGCGGCCCGCCTGGCCAGGCCGGGACGGTGCCGTCCACGGCCCTGGGGAGAGCTGGGGGATGCTTCCCCAGCCGGGGAGATCTGATGGCTGCCTCCCCGGCGCTCCAGGCGGGCCGCCAGCCCCCGCCCGCACCGCCCGGCAAGCAACCCCGGGCGGGGACGGGGACGTGGCCGGGGGCAGGGCCGGGGACGTGGCGAGGGTCACTAATGACCCAATTTGTAACGCCTGTGATATGGACGCCTATGCAGCCTATGACAAAGCGGCTAGGAAGAGGCAGCCGACCATCAATTGACGTTATTGACCCAAGATCGTATATATGGGGGCTGACCCCTAGTCTTTAGACTAGTCCTGCTAGCCCAGGCGGCCAGTGGGCTAGTCAGAGTTGGTGTTTTAGTGTGACTTGTTATGTTGCCCACACATGCTCAGACATATGCTGTCTAACCCTTGCCGGCACAGGCCATTTCGCGTCCTTCGACGGCACAAAGGGGGGGGGGGGGTGCGACCCCCTCGTTGGACGCTCGTTGGACTCTCGTTTTTTCCGGGAAATTCGCGGAAAAAATGAGCGTGCTGCCCGTGACGAGAGAGGAAGCCAATGATACCCGATTTTAAGGTCCTAGGTCATCGGTTGACCTTCCAGGTCATGTCAGTGACCCAAAAGTCGGGAAAATCGGGACCTGTTAGAACGTCTTTAAGTGTGGCTGCTATGGGACTTTTCGGGGTGCTGATCACGAATATCGTGTTAGTTTCGATCACTGATGATGTCTATATGCGATCGATTTATTCGTACACATGCCTGCCATGATCTTCTAAAATGGCTTCATCGTATATCGATTAGTTTCTGAGATATAGCCGGAAATGTAAACAGGCAAAACCTACCGCTTAAACCCGTGATAGCCGTACGTATACCACATGTGAAAACGTCTGTTCTCTATGTGATCGCCAGGTGAACGGACTGACCCCGTGGCACTCCTGGCTGGGTCTGCGGCGCGACTCCCTGGAAAGCCCGTTCTACTGGCCCTCCGGGCACCCCGTGACCTACACCAACTGGCGTAGTGGCCACCCAGTGAACGATACCGCTCTCTTCTGTGCGTTCCTATATGAGGATGGCAAATGGCTCAGTTATAAGTGTGATTATGGATATGCCATGGTAATTTGTCAAACCAAAGCGGTGCATGTATAAATACCTAACCTACATGTGTTTTTCAAGTCAGAACGATGAGCCGTCAAGAACTTTCTGCGGCTTAGAGAAATAAAAGCAATGCAAAGATGCAGCACTTCCTGCAGTTCTTGGTTTACCTACTGTCAAATCAAGTAAACCTACAAACCGACTGGCGACTGGGTTGACTATGTTCGTGTTGTTTTGTGGCTCTCACAAAAAAGACGGGCACATGCGGATCGGATATACGGAAAGCCATTGTTTTGAAAGAGCTTTCGTAAGAACTTGAGTTCGCAGTCAAACAGTTTGAAATCAGAGCAGAGACGGAATGCCCTGAAAATGGCAGATTGCAAGACAGCATCTATATCTTATCTATCTGTCTTAGCAAATCTTATCTATCTGTCTTAGCAATATGGCGCTTTTTTTAGTCGGGCGATGATAACGTACCGTTACACAAGTATACTGTTTTAAGAGGGCTCTGGCATTTGCAAAGGTCTTCTTAGACTGGACGAGCTGAGTTATTGGGGAAGAATAACGTTAAATTTGTCTGAACACTTACACGCAGTCATAGAGCAGCTGGTGCAAGGTGTAGGTGTACCTACCTTATTTATTGCATAAGTCATTGCACAAAGAACAGAATCGGTATGCACACTGGGTGCAGGACTAGAATCCTTCTCGCCTCTCGCTTTGGTGTGTATAGGTATACATACTTATCCAAATAGGTACTCGAACACGTATTCAGCCAGTTTCCGTGGAGTTTACACATTGATGAACGATAATTCTGGTATATAATTCATGTTGTTCTAGATACGTGACATGCTCCATTACATTCGCAAAGTAAAAACGTTATTATTTGCTTTAAACGTTGAGCAAAGTAGTGATGCACAAAAATCGCACTAACCCTGGTAAGCACTCTGGACTTTCTGGCAAGGACAAAAACTTCGGCCATGATGCGAAGGGTGGCCAGGATAAACCGCTGGATGCGACACCTAGGAAGCATCCGGTCCTGGTCCGCTCTGGGTCGGTCCTGGTCACTTCTTTGTCTGGGTCCGGTTCCAGATACGGTAATTTTACAGTCTGGCACCGGCCCAGGTCCGGATACAGCCCGGGTCCAGTCACAGTCCGGGCGACCGCAGCCAGGAGCCGTGCATGGTCAGCTGCTCCACCCAGGCTGTGGCGGCCGGGTCCAGTTCCACGGCTCGCGCACCGAGCCGGCGAGCCGCTACCTCGTCCACCGCCAGGCAGCCCTGGCCGCGCAGCAGGCAGCGCGACAGCAGGTAGCAGCCGATGGCCAGGCCGCGGCGCACGTAGCGAGCCAGACAGCCCGACTGACGAGCTAACTGGTCCACATCTGCGGCGCCGTACTGCGCCAGGTGCGCCGAAAAGCGCGCCGCGTGCCGATAGAAGTGGTGGCGGTAGTAGAGCAGCGCGAGCTGCGCCGTGGCGTAGATGTTGCCCCGCCGGGCCGCCTGGCTGAGACAAAAGCGCGCCGCCACCAGGTCACGCCGAACGCCCAGACCGTACAGGTACATGACGCCGAGCGCCCCTGGCCAACACGGGCACAAACATACACATTATCATAGATAGACGCGAAATTCGTCAGGTCAGCTTGTTACAGCCGAGAGTGAAGCGACTACGAGTTGTTCTGTGCAGCGCTTTGCGCTTGGCTTTGACCTATACGAGCTGACTGAGATACGCATGGCGCGCTTCAATCGGCTATAGCCGATTGAATGTATGAATGAATACTTATGAATGTATACTTATAGGTATGTACATACTACCGGCGATTTTACAAGCTTTAGACTACCTCACGCAACATGTAACATTCATGTCATAGCCGATAAAAAAACGCACGGGAGCACCTCGTTTAACTACTTCTGCGAACATCCACCCGCTCGTACTTGCCTTGGGACTCGAGACTACCGTTACCGGTGGCCTCCGAGTGCCAGAAGAAGGACTTTGGCAGGTCGCGCGTGTCACTCCTGGCCAGCAGCATGGCCAGCATGGTCTGGGCGCGCGCGCTGCCGAGTCGCGAGCCGCCGTCCACCGCTCGGTCCAGCCACCTGTCGACAGCGGACAGGCTCGAGTCTCGGTGACCACCAACATACACCCGGCCGCCTGGAAAGAGACTCATCTCTCTGCTGGCTTGCTATCCTGGCCTGAGGTGCATGACTGGACTCAGGCTGCAAAGCAATTGCTGTTTACATAGGTCGATCACCGCACCGCAATCCACATTTAGTCCATTTTGTAAACGGTTTTGACATGCGATCGAGATCGGAGACTATCGGTACGTTTCATTAATTTCGTTGCAATGCATTTTAAATTGTTGCCAGTTGCAATGTTATTTCAATTAAAATACGATACCAGCCTGGATATTCGATGTCATTTTCGAAAGAAATGCTGCGAATCGTTATTAGACTATTAGTAGAATTATTGTATCGGTACTTATGTTTATTTATAATGCTTATGCTGCTTGTCTGATCGCGGCGGCGACCGGTGCTCGGTGCCGACGGCGCCGACACAGGTGGGGATGAGGTGCGGGGAGGGAAGGCATGTGACGGCGAACTAAAGTCAGTGCGCCACAGCCTATATGATGACTTCTTGGGTAGGTATGTATATGGGAAGGGGAATGGCGGGCGGCTGGGTCCCCAATCTTATGAAATGTTGAAACGTCCCAAGATGTAGCAAGCCTCGCTATACAATTACGTGTAATTAGTTTACATATATGAAGAGTTATGCCTAATGCGTGAACATCACGCAGACAGTCGGTGCAGTGCTCACCGGCGGCCGTCGTCCTCGCTGCTGTGCACGCCGTACCCCATGAAGTAGGCTCTGGCGATGTTATACTGCGCCCTGTGAATCGCCTCCTTCTGTTCGGCGGTCTTGGGCACGCTGAGGGCCACCATCAGCATCAGCCGAAAGCCGCGCTCCAGGTCCTGTTCGAACCCCAGGCCCTCAAAGAGCATCACTCCCAGCTGGTACTGGGCGAACACATTCTCGGCCGCTATCGATGCGAACAGGGGCCGGGCGCTCTCGTAGTCGCCCCGGTCGAAGTACAGCTGGGCGAGGAACAGGACGGCGCGCTTGTCGCCGGCGTCGATCCTCCTGCGGAGGCAGCGCTCGGTGGCGGCATCCGAGCGCGCCTGCAGGTCCGACGAAGGGCTCTCCTCGCAGCTGACCCCGCTGAGCTCTGAGGCCGACTGCGAGTCGAAGCCCATGGCGTGACCGAGCCCGCCGGCCGCCTCGGTCCATTCTTTGGACTGCCAGTCGGTACAAGTGGTCACCGGTGGTACGTACCAATCCCTGGACGGCCAGTCGGTGCAGGTCGCCATTGACGGTACAATTTTGAAGCGTTAGGTGCAGTGCGATTTCGCTGGTTCCATCAGACTAAGGAGTAAGGACGCAGGTGTGAAGTGTATACGTTACTGGCAAGGCATGCTGGAGTTGTGTCATGCCATGTTGAGCTCAAATTATAGCAGGGCTTGTATAGTTCTTGAAGTAATTTGCCTTGCTGATACTGCTTAGAAGGAATTAAGAAATTGAACTAAAATTATCGAAGCTCACGAATGACTTTGTAGTTATTTTCATGTGACAATTAACATGAGTGTAATGATCAATAAAGTCACTAAGCGTAAACATAAGAAAAATCTCAACTAAACAGCGTAAAGATTTAATTAAAAATAACATTAAATTGGATCATAACATTTTTTATTGATGTCCCAAACAAAATACCTGCCGCCAAAACTTTCGTAGAATAAAACCAAACATTCATTTCAAGACACGTGCAATGATTTGCAATGATTTTCTGCAGTTCCTGGGACGACATCAGACATGCGCCCGACCCAAGCCCAGTCGCAGCACGTTTCACTGATGCATGGTGCACTTGCGACTTATAGTGGCAACAGCTTCAAATGCGATATCGCCCACGATTTTATATGTCGCTGAATGCGGTTGTCACTTGTCAGTGTCAGAAATACGTTCGCAGAGAAGAGCGGCACCTATATAGTACCCACCCTCGCACTGGCGAGGATGGGCCGATGCGACCCTCACCCCCTAAGGTTTTTCAAAGATAGTGTAAAAACGGCGGCGTGCAGCGCCGCCAAATTTGGCACAGCCTATGGGGTAACCGTTTAACATTTGACCTGAAAATTTCAGGTCCGGGTGACCTTGAGTCAGGTCACCAGTTAAGAAAAACCGGTACAAGGTCATGGTCAAATTTCATTTTTCTTTATGCCCCCATCCAACTCACAGTTTTGGATTGATTTCCTTCAAAGTTTCAGGATGTGCTAAGTTCACCGAGTTGTATAACATATAGTTCGTTTTTATATCACTGACCTGAGGTCAGTTAGAGGTCATTACGTCGTGATGTTAACCCGGCGGCCGCTGGGCCTCCGCGCCACCCGCCGGCCGCTGCACAGTGGGGATTTTTCCGATCTAGCGCCTATTAATTCAAAAAATCTTTTTTGGGTTTTTGTTTATTTTATGTGTCAGTGGGGCTAAGAAATGTCTGAATTTTTTATATATGGCATTGTTTTATCTGTATGTCCACAGCAAGACTAGGAAAAATGCGCCCAAAGTTCACACTCATGCGTGATTACTCAATGGGCTCAGTAAGGACCGAAAGTATGGCTCAATTTCATTGTCCTGTCCTGTTGGTTTTATTCTTGCGAGTTCTTAAAGTTGCATATCTCCTGAAAGGCACCTATATTAGGAATGGAATGGCAAACAGAAAGTATGCCACAACCTTACTAAGGTCACAAAAATGCCATTTACAAAAAACCCTTACAGAAACCATATTGAAGGAATGGTATTCTAGATAAATGTAGGAAATCAACAATGTTTTCCACACTTTTCCACTCCGAAACATATCCTATCGAATTTGCCACTTTCTCCTGCACAAGACAACGCCTAGTTTGGCTGCCGGAACTTGCCTGAACACGGAATATTCGCATTAGAGTATCTTAATACCCCACTCTAGGAGCGCTAGGGCAAACAGCACGATATAGGTATGTTCCAGACATGGGCGAATAATTTTACTTCCTGACTTATATGATGCATATTTTCTGAGACACATTCATGAGGAATAGGATGACAGGCGTAAATAATACATACCGCAACCTTATTAACCCTAGCACTAGTGGGGAGGGGGAGGGGGAAGGGGTCGGATAAACCCCATGGTTTTCCGCAAATCACTCGCGCAAAAAGCAGCCGATCGCGACGAAACTTTCGTTGCCCTCGAGATCATCAATTTTACATCTAACCTAAAAATTTCATGACTCTGACCCAACTGACCTTTGACCTGTGGCATATTTCTCGAGACCATGTTTGGCCGGAATCGCGATTCGGCGTATGTCAGCTCACATTATCCGCGTTTCCAGTCTTTTTGTGGTTTTAAACGTTCAAATATGTGAAATGATGCTGGTGCCATGCATTATGGTGGGTGTCAAGGTCACGTGAAGGTCAGGTCAAGGTCATTGACCTTTGATGACATTGGTTCACTTTTTCGAGTTTTACTTGCCTCTAGGGTAGTTTTTGGTGTTGATTTCGAATTTAGCAACCATTTGAATATTTACGAAGTAGTTCTGGTGCCTTCGTACCATGTTACGAAGCTGTCAGTAGTAGGTGACACCTATTATGGATGGCCGGCAGGACGTCTACTGGCTGACCTGACCTGACCCGACCTGGCTTAAATGCATGAAGACATCGTCTGTGATCAAAACTAACATGAAATTCGTGATCAGCACCCCAAAATACCCCGTAACATCCTAACTTTACGAAGTTCCAAGAGGTCTCGATTTTCCATCTTTAGTTGGGTCATTGACTTGACTTGGAAAGTCAACTAATGACCTTGGACTTTGAAATTGGATATATTCGGCCTCATCTCGTCATAGACAGCACGCTTGATTTTTCCGCGAAGCTCTAGCTTGATCAGGGGCCAGACGGCTGAGCCGGGGGTCCAATTGACCCCCCTATACTATGTTGATTATGCACATTTACAGGTAATACTCTCACCAGAACACACCAGCCAACATCTGTGCACAATCTGGCTACAATACTACCTATGGTTTGCCCTCTACGAATAAATACGTGCTAGATCGGAAAAATCCCCACTGTGCGCTGGGGGGCATATAGTTGCCCCCCCCCCTTTTACTTCTGCGACGATATCGTCGCAACGCGAGGAGATAGAGAAGCGAAACTATGCACACATATTTCTGAATACCTAGCCGAGGTTGTGTCCAAATTTGGTGTCGATCCCATTTGAAATGACGTCACAGTGACGTCATAAGTGAAATTATAGATTTGCGACTCTCATATTCCTCACGATACATCAGATATATGGGACCGAATATAAAGGGTCGATTATTGGTCAGAAACTAGATGGAAGTGTAGTTAGAGGCTTTATGATGACAGCAGGTGCTGTCTAGTTCATTTACAGTTGAGTTTCATGCTCAGCGTCATCAGAAACGGTCCATATCGGAAAACGACAAAACTTTATGACGTCACTGTGACGTCATCTTAGGTGCTACAACCACCAAACTTTTCTCATACATTGCCTAGGTATTCATTTGAAGCTATGCCAAGTTTCACGTTCGTAGCTCATTAGGTTTCAGAGATATTTCACAAAACGTAAAGGGGGGGGGGCAATTTATTTATTTATTTATTTATTTATTTATTTATTTATTTATTTATTTATTGCACATCTTTGAACCATCCACTGCAGCTGTGGCTTTTCTTGGTCCAGTGTCATACAGGGCAGTAAGAGGTACAGTCGTGTACAGGTTGATGGTCCCCTACTCTTTTCTCCACCGGGTTCCTATGGCTTAGCATTGGCAGCAGCCGCCTGGTACCGGTAGGCTGTGCCGCATGACCCGAGAGTGAAGCGGCACAGTCTACCCACGCCGTTTGACATCGGCTCGGGTCGCCGGGTGGAGCGCTTTGTAGACCAGCTGTTGCGTCAGACCAGCGCGGGGGGAGGGGCTCGTCTCGGTGGTTGGCGTCAGGCGTGGGCTGGCGAGTGGTGTGGGGCGTGTTGGTGGACCATGGGGGCTGGGCGGGTGTGTGTGGTCACTTGCTGCAATGCACATTTTGCGTCGCTTAACAATTGCATTCCTGTTTTTGCTAGGCACAATGCACGGAAGACCCAGCTAATATAATTTACTTTACTTGTGCATTGTGCAAAACGTGATTTGGCACGGTATCGAGGCAACCATAGGTCTTGTGCCTATGCATGACATTTAGGCAATACGTTTATGAAGACGGTAGATTGATGCTGGATGTCAATTCGTATTGCTAAATGTCGGCACATAATAAATGAATGAATCAATCAATCAATCAATCGAACAATCAATAGACATGTATAAAACCGTTTAAATGGCTCGCAACCACTAATAGCAATCACGCCATCCTAACTCGGAAAAGCAGCCGGAGCCCTGATGAGGCTCGAACCGGGACTCCACGCTGTAAATTTTGCCAATGATCCATCATCATTCCACCAAGCTAGAGTAGCCGGCACCCGAACCCACAAAAACATTAATTGACTTTGCCGCCGACCTCCTGGCCCCGCCGCCCGCCCGGCCAGACTTTGCCCCGGCCATGTCACCATCCGGTGTAGCTCAGCGTAGGAGTGCTCGACTGTCAAACTGACCGGTAGTGCGGGGCCCGGTTCGAAACGCTTCGGATGCTGGATGTTTATTTCTCGGTGGGAGGCTTTACGTTTAGTCCACTTTTCAGAAAGATCATTTGGTGACTGACCTGTTTTCTTTCTTTGCTGCAATTCATGAGGGGACCGTATGCAGTATGCACCCTTACCTGTCCTTCCGCACCCCACTTGGGAGATGGGTGGTTGCCCCCCCCCCATGGGTTTGTGAATATCTCTAAAACGAATTTTTGGAGGGGGGATACGATCGGTTCTATGCGACAAGTGACCACACACGCCCAGCCCTGCAGGTCCGCTCACTCCCTACCCACATCACCCCTCCCCACACCACACTCCAGCCCGCCTCATCCACCGAGCCGAGCCATAACGAGCCTCAGCGCCCCGGGGCGCGACCTGTCAGCGAACCGGCAGGGACGCGGGCCGGCGGTTGCGTGCGCCGCGGAGGCAGGGGCGCGTCCAGGCGTCGGGGACATCGAGGCGGCGCGAGCTGGCGCCGCCACGGCGACACTGGACCAGAGCTCAATATTATAAAAAAATAAGACAAAATTACAGCTTTGTTTGCAGTGAGACTGTATAGCCGGGACCAAATCAAACCATATCAGCCAGTTAGAAGCCTTAGTACTAATAAGCTTATATGATTCAATTTGCTCCTGGTGAAAAAGTTTTACTTCAAATGAAGCCCTAATTTTGTCTTATTTTTTTATAATATTGCACTCAGACCTGATAATATTGGACACCTCAACATTCAGTCGTTGAAGCCCAAACTGCCGGATCTGCGAGACGACATTCATAGAAGAGTTCACGGATTTGATATATTGTCACTGTTATTATATAACAGTGTTCGCTGACAGGTCGCGCCCCGGGGCGCTGAGGCTCGTTATGGCTCGGCTCGGTGGATGAGGCGGGCTGGAGTGTGGTGTGGGGAGGGGGTGATATGGGTAGGGAGTGAGCGGACCTGGGGCTGGGCGTGTGTGGTCACTTGTCGCATAGAACCGATCATATCCCCCTCCAAAAATTTGTTTTAGAGATATTCACAAACCCATGGGGGGGGGGGCAACCACCCATCTCCCAAGTGGGGTGCGGAAGGACAGGTAAGGGTGCATACTGCATACGGTCCC